CAGGGAAAGTGGATGATCCCCTCCTATCTGCAGTGGTCACACATCATCAGGAGTGCTTCCGAAGTTTACTTACAAACTAGCGTATATCCAGAGGATAACATCCAAGGTGGTGAGAGGTGTCAACATCTTGTGATAGAAAGGACAAGTGGAAGGGCTGTGGACACTTAGTTGAACCGTCATCTGAAAGAGTGATTACTCTGTTGCTTTGTGGGGGGAAAGCATGTTTGTGTGTATATGGTGTGTGTGCATTGGAAGAGGGTATATTTGAATAAGTCTTTGCAGATACAATTCTGGTTTCTGTTTTCGCTGGCTTTTGTTTATGGTAGTTTGACTTCTTGTGTACTTTTGATTTTTGACTGTGAGCCCATATTCCTTGGAAATTTATCTGTAGGAACTATTTGGGGCCTAGGATTGAAACTTTGTTCTTTCAGGGAAGATCTGCTTTTGCTTCTGCCAAACACCTAGGGATAGGATACTTCAGCCCAAGTCCATTTTAAACCTAGTTCTTACTCATGGTTTTTTTAGACCAAAGTGGTGTGTGAATTAGGATTGCAGAACTGCATGAGGGCCAATCTGTTATAAAGTCTCATTGTGGATTTTTTCCCCTCTTACAGCTGTATCAGGATTCGTTACTGAATTGTAAAATCAAAGTTTGTGATCATCAGGTTTTGGCAAATACCCTTGGGAAAAAAAACCTGCTTCAGTGGGTACACATACATTCCTGGATTTTCACTTTCACTTATCTTTTGGCCTTCTGGAATTTTCTGGAATTTAACGTTCTTGCTAGTTCTTAGATTGAAAAACATTTTTAAAATAAATATTTCACATAGTCTGTTTACTTGTCTTTATTTATTTATTTATTTGAGACAGAGTCTCACTCTGTCGCCCAGGCTGGAATATAGTGGCACGATCTTGGCTCACTGTGACCTCCACCTCCTGGGTTCAAGTGATTCTCGTGCCTCAACCTCCCAACTAGCTGGGATTACAGGTGTATGCCACTATGCCTGGCTAATTTTGTATTTTTAGTAGAGATGGGGCTTCACCATGTTGGTTAGGCTGGTCTCAAACTCCTGACCTCAAGTGAGCCACCCACTTTGGCCTCTTAAAGTGCTGGGGTTACAGGGGTGAGCCATTGCACCCAGCCTACTTGTCTTTAATTAAAGGGTCAGTCAAGGTACCAAAAACTGAAGTCCATCTATTTAGTGTAGAGAACTCCTTGTACCGTATGAGATAGGGATTCTTTATTATTGTCAGCTTACTGACCATATTTTGGTGGGGTAAAGAAATGATACAGGAGAGAACCCTGTATTAGAACGATGGTTGATGTGTAAATAACCTTTTGGGTCTCTTTCAATTATAAAAGTATATAGTTTTAGCCAAAATAATCATTTTTTGCTTCTCTTGAGAATTGACCATTTTGAACTAGACTAATATTATTCAGTGACATTTAAATCTGTTTCCTCTAAAAATAGAAGTTGTAAATATCTGTCAGTTATTAGAAAACACTGAATTTACACTAGAAGTCATCTTAATCCACAATGTGTCTTTGAAAGCACGTTCTTAATCTGAAAATGTTGAACAAATCAGATTGGCACTTTAGCCCTCACTCCAATGTAAACACAAATGGATTATTTGTAGATGGTTGATGTTCTTTGACAGATGTTGCATTTTGGAAGTAGAAATCTGTTAGGATGCGCTAGGATTTAAATTTTTTCTGTCAAGGATTTAGTGTAAATCCCCTTTTCCTCTTCTCCTTCTGTCTGACCTTGTCTCATCATTCAGAATCCACCTTGGTCATCTAGTTTTCTTTCTCATCGTATCTCTCAGTGAGTGAACTATCGGATGAGACCTGCTGTTTTATGGACCTGTTCCTATCTTCATCAGTCTGAGTTCTCTTGGCTTTGAGAAACAAAAAATTTACATTGCTTGATAAAAAGCATGAAAAAATAGAGCAGTCAACTTACTGTTTACAAGGTTAGGAACTTTCATTTAAGCTCTGTAATAAACTGTTTTATCTGTTTAAAAATAACATCCCATTAAACAAAGTAGCTTCCCATAGCCCTGTCTCTAGACTCAAAGGCAAAGAGAGGAACTTACAAGTTTATATGTACTGTGTGCCTGTAAATGTGCATTTACAGGACTCCACACAGCACTAAGAATTATTACCTACCAATAAGGGAAAGTATTTTGAAAGCCCATGTTTCCTTGGAACATATGCTATTATAACAGATGTGATAGAGGTACACATAGAGACTTCAAGATTTTTTTCTGTGCATTGCGAGCATTTTCTCTCTGTTCATATGGTTGTCTGAATCAGGGGTCTAGTAAAGGAGTAGAATCAGAAAGAACTTTTCCCTTTCAGGGTTATGTAAATCATGGCTGGCCACTTAGTGAGCACACTCCATTAACTGTTCCAGTTCATGGGTGGATTACCAGGTGAACCATGCTCTTTAAAGTAGCAGTTCTCAACATTTTCTAATAGTTTTAGGACCCAGTTAAAGACTCTTAAAAACAACTGAGGACTCAATAGCTTATATATTAATTCATTTATAGTAACTTATGTATTCATTTATAATAGCTTATGTATTTATTTACAAATAATAATGAGCACGTTAACATCAGAGCAGTGATATCACATCATATAACATCTGGAAGATTTCACTGTATAATCATGAGAATGAGAGTGAAAAGGCAAATAACATCTTAGTAGTAGTATGAAAAGATGTTTGGCCTCTCAGACCTTCTGACAGGGTTTTGAGGGAATATGTGGCTCCAAAATTCAGATTTAGATAGATATCTGTCACGGGAATAATCTTTCCACATATCAAGATAGCTGCTGATTATCCTGCGAAGAATTCTTGTAAGTGAAGTTTGAAGGTCATAGTTTTAAAACAAAGCTGTATGTATGCCACATACACTAATATGAGAGCATGGAAGCTAGGTGGGGAATGCAGTTTTTATTCTCTTAGGACTTAGGCCATAAAAGCAGTTTATGAGCAAGAAAACTTGCTGAGAATCAGAGACATAACCCAATCCAGGCCACAGCTGCAGAACAGAATTGAATGAGTTTACTCAGCACCCGCACACTTGAGGAAGTCTGGAAGGTGAGTGATGCGTGAATCCACTGGAGCCTGCCCACATCTCAGTCTTGAAGCCTGACAGGCCTCTGGAGGAAGTCAGGATACTCAAGCATAATTCTGACATCAAACATAGAGACAGGTATGGGGAAATTAGTTCTGTTTCAGGTATCAGTAAAGCACAAATTGGAAGACTTATGTAATTCTGCTAGTAAAGCAGAATGCTCTGAGGATATCCTTATGACACGTTGGAAGTCAAAGTCAAGGAATCTAAGCTGGATGTTAAAACCCAAAGCTAAAATTAACTGTAAGAAAAAAGCTATAAAATATATAATGTACAAAAGTGGCCAAATTAATAACACAGTTCAGGGCAATCCAGTCAAAGTAGAGGAGATGTAGTTAATTGTAATTTTGTTTCTGGAAAGTGATTTAGAGTAGGAGTGGTCTTTCCTCTTCCCCCATCCTTTTTTAATATTCTCAAATAATTTTCAGAAATAGTTTGGCCTTCTCTATACTACAAGTTGTGAATATTTTGCTATGTCCAAAATTAATTTTAAACAGTTAATTCTAATTCCCAGAAATCCTGAAAGCTAAAATAATGTTGGCATTTTACAAATTCCCAGGTTTTAAGGCTAAATGTATTGTAAAACTAAATGCTTAGTTTTTCTGTTTCCTTTATGGCCTACCAGCCCACGAGATGGAAAATGATGTTTCTTACCATTTTATGCAGCCATATCCTGCTGATTGTTGTGTAACTACAGAGTTGTTAAGTAGCAGAAGAACTCATCATCCATTAATAGTACTGCTGAATTATTCAGAGAAATCCTTAAGCAGAATAAGTGGTTATAGCCATCCAATTTCTCCTCCCTCTCACTTTCCCATTCATTTTTCCTGTGGTTGAGTATCTCAGACTTTCAAGCCCAGGATCACTGTCAAAACATGCAGGGAAAGTCAAATATTCAAATAGTTTTGTTGTACATGAGTTTTGAATCAATGATTAGCTTGGAATTGGGGTACTTACTAAAAAAAAGGAGATGTTTTATTGTTGATGTTTGACTGTTTAATAAAGCTATCTATAATCATCCAAGAAGTATTATAATTGCACTTACTGCAAAAAGGTCTACCTTTTAATTTACCTTTCCTGGGGTTTCTCACAGGAGTCTTGAGGCAGGTGTTTGTATTTATGTACACCAAGCTGCTTGCTACTCTGCATGGTTTTTCAGTAATGGCCATTTGCCCTCCTGGAAAATGTCACATTCACTTCATCAGCTTGTTCAGAGATCTCTTTCACACTCACTTCTAGTCCTGAGAATCCTTCTCCATCCCCTCCTCTCTCATACAGTTGCAGAACTTTTCCTATGTGACCTCTCTCAACACCTTTAATCCATTTCCAGTCAATCCCCTGTTAACTCTAGAACATCAGAAATAGGAAATGACTAAAAGGGAGTGGGCCAGTTGATGGAAAATGTGTTGAGAGATTTTTTTCATTGTAAGTGCTGCTGAATGGCTAGACTTTTTAACCATATGTTTTTAATATTTTGATCACAGTGAATCAATTCATTATTCTTGATAACTCCAGAATGGTCTTATGAAGATATTACTATCACCATGTTATTCCCCTGTTTAAGACTTTTTGATGATACCTTATTTCCTGTATGATATTGACATAACCACAGTTATGTCCCTGTGCTTTTTTACACATGCTGTTTCCTCTGCCCAGAATGCAGGTTCTGTTGGTAGGAATTTGGCCATGGTATCAGAATCTCTTCTCTACACCAGAGTTTTGAACAGGCCCCTGTAGATGCCCTGGCTTGGTGTGACAGGCTTCCCAACAGCACTTTACCCAGATTGAACAGGTCTTGATTGCGTGAACCAAGGTGAACTAATTAAATTCTTTGGATTTGCCCTCCCTTTTTTCCACAGCAGACTGAGCTATCAGCTGAAGAAAGTCCAGAAAAATTAGGAACCTCCCAGCTACATCGTCTGAAAGTCATTTCCTTAAACAAACAGATTGTGCAGAAGACCAAACATCTTGAAGAGGTTAGTGTTTTCTTTTCATAAGTCTATTCAAGATCTTCATGGTAGATTGGTTAAAAGAGATTCCAGAACAGGAGTTAGCATACTATGGTGCTCAGGGCAATCCAGCTGCCACCTGTTTTTGTAAATAAAGTTTTATTGCAGCATATGTACATCCATTTGTTAACATATTTTCTGTGGTTGCTTTCAGGCTACAATGGCAGAGTTTAGTAGTTGCAGAAGACTATAAGACCTACAAAGCCTAAAATATTTACTATCTGGCCCTTTGCAGAAAAAGTTTGCTAACTTCTGTTATAGGAAAAGATCACAGAGTAATAATAGCATTAGTTCACAGATATTTACCAAGCAATACTGTATGCGAGGCACTGAACTAAGTTAATGGGATGAGTGAAGAACAAGTTATGATCCTTGCTGTCAAGGATCTAAAGATCTAAGGAGAAGGCATCACACTCATCATTTAATTACAGGTGTGATAAATGCTTAAAGGAGAAGTCGAGGAAGCTGGGAGAGTGACTAATAGGGAGACCTGCCCTAGCCTCAGGTCACAGAGTTCTGAGACTGGAAAGATGAGTGGGCATTTCTGGGCAGGAAGTCTGTATGGGCTATGTGGACTTACAGAACAGTGTGAACGAAGATCAGAGGAGGATGGAATGGTCTTGGCCAATCTGTTTTGTGGCCAGAGAGTCATAAGTGAGACGGTTGGCAATGTCTGATCGAACAGGACCACCCAGGCCATGTTAAGGACAATGGAAGCCACTGAAGGGTTTAGATAGGGGAGTGGCATGATCAGAACTGCATATTGTAAAGACAATTCTGTTTGCTGCAGGAGCATGAATTAACTGGACTTGAGTGAGAAGGAATTCAGGGAGAACTGGTAGGAGGCTGATGCAGTAGTCCACACATGGACTGTTACTATTAATGGCAGGGAAATGGAGCAAAGTTGATCTTTTAGAGAGCTGTAGGAGAATAGGAGAATAGGAGTAATACCTAGTGATGGATGAGACTGTTCTGGAAAGACCTACATATATTTGTTCTGAAAAGCAGACCTAAGAGGAAGCTGGGAAGTTTGACTCAGGAACAGTCATTGGACAATAAAAAGTTATGTGCTGCAGTTGCATTAGCAATAGATTAGATTAGAAACATACACGTAGCAAAAGATTAAGAGAATGAATATGGGCTGGGGGCGGTGACTCACACCTGTAATCCCAACACTTTGGGAGGCCGAGGTAAGCAGATCACCTGAGGCTGGGAGTTTGAGACCAGCCTGACCAACATGGAGAAATCCCATCACTACTAAAAATACAAAATTAGCTTGGCATGGTGGCACATGGCTATAATCCCAGCTACTCCACCAGCTGAGGTAGGAGAATCGCTTGAACCCAGGAGGCAAAAGTTGTGGTGACCCAAGATTGTGCCATTGTACTCCAGCCTGGGCAACAAGAGCCAGCTCCACCATTATACTCCAGCCTGAACAACAAGCGTGAACCTCCATCTCAAAAAAAAAAAAAAGAATGAGTATGGCTTTCTAAAGAACAATTCACCAGTAGTTACTATAACCGTTAGTTTTCTAAAAATGGGTACCAGTTGGCATTTTGCATTTTGAGCTTATTTTTTAATAAAGTCTCACCTATTTAAAAGATATTAACATATCAAATGGTCTTGCTCAATCGTTTCTTTCTTGCATTTCTTCTATTAGAATTTGTTCTACCATAGCTGAACAAACAATACGTTGGCTTTGCTAAATGCACTGGATCAAAGAAGGATGAAAAGATAGCCTACGATTTGGTTTCTGTTCAGTTATTTGTTTAGACGTTTTAGTGAGTTCTCAACTCAGACAGTATCATCTCTACTCCTGACCCCTGCTGGTGATATAAGAATGGTTCAAAAAGAACTCATCACAGAATCAGAAGGAGCAGGAGTCAAGGATGAGGCTTCTTTATTATGTTGTCTTTATTTCTGAAGGAAGATAGTTTTGAGGTTATTGTGGACTCCAGGAGCCAGAGTATCCCAACAGGAATGGATATTTGCTTCTACCTCCTGTCTAAACCTGGGGAGAAGAAATGGTAAGCCTCAACACAAATAGCAGTCTTGACATCTTCTTGATCTTCTTGGTCCAGCTGACAGGACAAGCCTCCCTGAGGCTTGAGTCTGTTTTGCAGTTGGTTCAGAACACGTTTACCCAGAGGCTATTTTTCCATGCATCATTATTGCTATATTTAACGTAATTAAAGATAATGATCAGCACATGCAATAATCCCTGGCCATGTAGCTAGGCCAACTGGGTAAGAAAAATAAGGTAGGGAGGAAAGAGACTTGCTCAGAGTCTGTATTTCATGTTTGTGTGTATGTATGTGTGTGTGTGTGTGTGTGTGTGTGCGCGCGCACATGATATACTAAACACATTACTTACGTCAGTTTCTTGGGTGTTTTTTTAAATATTTTTGAGATGGAGTCTCACCCAGGCTGGAGTGCAATGGTACAATCTCGGCTCACTGCAAACTCCACCTCCCAGGTTCAAGCAATTCTCCTGCCTCAGCCTCCTAAGTAGCTGGGACTGTAGGCGCCTGCCACCAGGCCTGGCTAGTTTTTGTATTTTTAGTAGAGATGGGGGTTTCACCATATTGGGCAGGCTGGACTTGAACTCCTGACCTTGTGATCCACCTGCTTCAGCCTCCCAAAGTTCTGGGATTACAGGCATGAGCCACTGCACACGGGCATTCTGTCAATTTTCAAACGTTTTAAGCGTCGTTTCTTTTTTTTTTTAATTGTAGGGATAAGCTCATTATAAATATAATATATATAGTATAGAACTATATAAAGTATAGTTTTTATATACTTTATATAGTATAGAACTATATAAGATAAGAATAAACAGAGCAAGCTACTATTTGTGTCTGCTGTGTTTCCTGACAAACCTTTTTTTTAGGCCTTTGCAAACGCATATGCCCCTTCACCTGGGGAGAATGAGTTGTATGGTTACAAAATTGAGTTTTTATTTCGTTTATTCTATCACAGACATCTCTCTGTCAGTAATAAGAATGGCTAATAAGTACTTTGTTATTGCTTACTAATTACTATATGCTTTATAAAATTAACTCGTTCAGTTTGCACAGCATCCTTATGAAGGGGAGGTACTGTTACTTTTCTCACTTTACAAATAAGGATACTGAAACACAAATTAAGCAGGCTGTCTGTAGTCAAACAACTTGTTAGTGGTTGAACCAAAATTTAAGCATGTAAATCTACCTCATTCTTTTTAGTGACTGGATAGTGTGACATAGTATATATGTAACATAATTTATTTAACTTGTTCCCTATTCATGAGTATGTAGGTTTTTCGAGGGTTGTCTTTTCCCAATTGCAAACTTTTGCTACCATGACCACCTTTGTGCAACTGTATAGAAGTGTTTGTATAAAATAGACTTTAGAAAGTAGAATTGCTAAATCAAAAAAAAAGTATTTTCATTTTTTATTTTGCTAAAAACTGTCAAGTTGTTCATCAGTTATTTTATCAATTTGTACATCTACTTGTAGTATGTGAGGGATTCCAAACTCTTTAACTTCCACAACCTCTTTTACAAGGTTATACAGGCATAAAGCATCTGACATGCATCCTTTTTTAGGCTTTTGCAAACACGTATGCCCTCACCTGGGGAGAGTGAGTTGTATGGTTACAAAACTGAGTTTTTATTTCATGTATTCTATCACAGACATCTCTCTGTCCATAACAGTAGTGGCTAATATATGGTTTGTTATTACTTCGTAATTACTAAGTGCTTTGTGAAATTAACTTGGTTTGGACAATATCTTCTTATGAAGGGGAGGTACTAGTATTATCCTCACTTTACAAATAAGGAAATATTAGACCATTCTCACCCTGCTAATAAAGACATACCTGAGACTGGGTAATTTATAAAGGAAAGAGGTTTAATTGACTTACACTTCTGCATGGCTGGGGAGGCCTCAGGAAACTTAGAATCATGGCAGACGGAGAAGCAAACATGCCCTTCTTCAGATGATGGTAGGAAGAAGAAGTACAAGCAGGGGAAATGCCAGATGCTTACTAAACCATCAGTTCTCATGAGAACTCACTATCATGAGAACACCATCGGGTAAACCGCCCCATCATTCCAATTATCTCCACCCAATGCCTCCCACAACATGTGGGGATTATGGGAACTACAGTTCAAGATGAGATTTGGGTAGGGACTCAGCCAAACCATGTCATGGTCCAATAAGGGAATATGCTACACAGGAATAAAAATGGAGTGTAGCTGGTAGGTAGCTGAGAAGAAACCCGAGAGTGACAAAAGATCCAGAGAGGTGGTGTTAACCAGCAGCTGAATTTTTCGGGTAAGTATAGGGGTTAATTATGATGAAGAAAATAGAGGAAAGAGAATCCTGGAGGACTCCAGCAAGATAAAAACTAAGCTAAGTTACCGGGATACTTCCTATTTAAGAAAAGATGATCGGATGAAGAATTAAAGAGTTCTTGTTAGTTAAATTAATTAAAGAAAGAGATGAACCTTTCCTTCTTAGCAAGCTCCTACTTCCCTGCCAAGATCAATCTGGGGTAAGTCTTTGTTGGTGAAGGCTTCCTGAACCCCCTGGTGAGGGAGCTGATTCTCTTTCCTCGGGCCTGCCCCTGCCCCATCTCATCTCATATTTTAATACCACAGTTACAATGTCATGTTCTATATCCCACATACCTCATTTGAACAGAGCGTTGAGTAAATGTCAGATGAGAGGTGGGTGCAGGGGTGAGAGGCTACACAAGAAGGTGGGTAAAGTAGGTGGGAAGATCCCAGGAACCTTTCCTAGAGCCTTGTCTTAGTCCATTTGGGCTGCTCTAACAAAATAGCTTAGACATGGTAATTTATAAACTACAGAAATTTGTTGCTTACATTTCTGATGATTGGAAGTCCAAGACCAAGGCACTAGCATATCTGGTATCCAAGGAGGACTCATTCTGCTCCACAGATGGCGCCTTGTTGCTGCTTCCTCACATGGTAGAAGAGGGCAAGGGAGCTCACTCAGGCCTCTTTTCTTTTCTTTTCTTTTCTTTTTTTTTGAGACAGGGTCTCACTCCATCATCCAGGCTAGAGTGCAATGGCATGATCATAACTCACTGCAGCCTCAACCTCAACCTCCCAGGGTGAAGCAATCCTTCTGCGTCAGCCTCCCACATAGTCAGGACCACAGGAACACCACCATGCCTGGCTAATTTTTTTTATACGTCTTTGTAGAGACAGAGTCTCACTTTGTTGCCCAGGCTGAGCCTCTTTATAAGGTCACTCATCTGATTCAGAAGGCTAGAGCCCTCATAACTTAATCACTTCCCTCTTGAAACTGTCATATTGGGTATGAGGTTTTAAGATATGAATTTGGGGCAGACACTAACATTCCCAAAATAGCAAGTGTCAACAGTTACATCACTGGGATTTCAAGAGAAAACTAAACTTTCTCCTGAAGTACCCTTATACTACCAGTTACACAAACAGGTTAATAGAAGTTGTCATTGCACGAGTGGCTCCTTTTGAAAAGGGAGACACCAGAATCTACCTGCTTCTCTCTCCTTTATCACTTTGCTCTCAGCTTGAGTTGGCTTCTTGATAGGCCTTGTTGGAATTATAACCATTTATCAGTCAGAAAGACTGATAACTAGATGGGAGTAACAATTTCTGAAGGTGATGTAACTCTTAATAAGCTGCTTACAGGCCCAAGGATGGGGCATGTTACTTTGAAATAACCGTTGAGATATAGGTTAAAATTTCTCATTGTTAACTTGAACTCAGGTCATAACTAGTTTGAAGGTGGTTTTCTGCCTCTTATCCTTTTCAGAAGTGAAACACACAATCCTTTTGAGCTTTTAAAGGGATGTTTTCAAATTTCTAGAAGTTGATAGATACACAAGGATATACTATTTTAGCAAGGGAAAGGAAATTGACTTTTTCAAAATGTGAGTTTACAGTTTTATAACTTGGAACAGTAAAGGTAATTTATTTTCATTCTCTTAGTGTTGAAGTCCTGAATCCTATCTTTTATGTGGCATCATTTGCCAGCCAGTCCTGTTCTATGCTAGAATCTCAAGTGCTGAAATACTGTTTGTATTCTGCAAACAGGCAAGTTAGTAACTACATTGAGCCCCACTGAAAAGTCAGAGGGACTTGAATTTGGATCTGGGCCTCATCAGTTATCAGCTATGAGACTTTAGTCAAGTAACTTAACCTGTCTTGAGTCTTTATTTCCTCACCTGTAAAATAATAAAAATGTCTTTTTTCACCGAATAAAAGGATTTGGTAATACGATTTATGCAAAATGCCTAGTACATTGGCTGACATGTACTTGGTGCTAATTAAATATGAGAGTTTTTTTCTTCATTTATTGTTGGCAACTCTTCTGCAGTTTCCACATTTGCTCAGTTTAAATCTTTCTGAGCTTTCATTTTCTCATCTTTGAAATGCATATCTGTGTTGTCATAAGGATCAAATGAGAGCGTGTGTATTTTATCTTTCATTTACAGCTGCGAGCAAGTCACACTAGCCTACAAGCCAGATACAATGAAGCCAAGAAAACACTGACAGAGGTGAGCAGATTGATTCTCCTTCTTCGGTCAAGAATCATTTTTGGCCTACACCACCAATGGAATGACTTGTTTCATCTATCTGTGAGAGGGACACATGATCCTGTTCTCAGAAACTGCAGTTTGAGGACATAGGACAGTTAGTAGTGTGCGACCCATGTCATCAGTTTGTCCACACTGCCACATTCTAGACCGTTAGTGGTCTTGGTGGAAAAGGTCTCTGGGCTGCGAGGATCAGGAAAGGCTTCCTGGGAAGGCAAGTCTGATGGGCTGGGTGGGACACAGAGAAGAACTCACAGTGTCACACATAGTAAATAGCCCCTGCTCCTCAAATATGATAGCAGCTTATATAATATACCTCTAAGATCCTGAATTCCTTGAGAGTGAGATTTCTTTTAAGATATGAGAGAATATAATTGTTGTTCAGAATTTCCAGTTATCTCCTAGGCAGAATGGGGAAGGGGCTGGAGGAGGAGAAGGACGGCTAGGAGTACATTTGTACCCTGAGATTCAGTCTGTAGTCCAGGTTGCAAGTGTGCTACCTCACAGCAGCTTTGTCGCTGCTCCCTTCCCACTTCTGATTGCTGAACAGTCACCTCTGCTGCCACCTCTATCATGAGTAGCATATAGATATTTCTGTCCCTTGGTTTCTACAGAGAGCTATCCTCACTCAGGCCTGAAAAGCACTCTTCCTTGTAATTTTGGTGCTTGGATTATAGCTGTACTGTGGAAGGATCTCACTGCACAATCCCTACTTTCTGGACCATTTGGAAACTTGGATCTTCAAAGACATCTCTTAAACCACCCAGTCTCCCACCTTTCTGGAATTAACATGACATTTACCAATTTAAAATTCTTATTTCTGTAGCAATATGTAGCAGTTAATTTGCCACCTTGATGTAAACCTGACAAAGCTTTTCAGTTCTGATCTGGACTAACCTCTTCAGTTATTGTCAGAATGTTTCAAAAGGGCAGGCACATGAATGGCAACTCAATTTTTCTCATTGTTCCTAAAGATGCCTGCCTTGCCTTTGGACAGATCAGCGTCCTTTACACTGCTCTGTGACTGCTTTCCTTATGGATTAGATGGCAAGTTCTGCAGGATGGGAGCCCTGTTGCTGTATTACTTTTAATGCTGCAGAGCCCCTGGCATGAAGTTTGCCAATTCATGGATCTGTTTTTACATAACAGTCTGGAGGAGATTAAAGGCAAAATATCTTGATTTTCTAAGATATTTATATGCCTTAGGATATAAATTATCAGTGACTATACAGGGGCTTTTTATATTAAACACTAAATCAAATATTTGTTGAGCCCTTTTCATGTTATAGAAAGGTGGAGGGTGTGATTTAAGTCAGTAATAAGACTATCCTCAGATGGAAACAGCAGCCAGCATATCATTTCTGCAGTCATAATTCCTTTTTGCAGATGGGGAAGCTAAGGCAGAGAGGCTAAATAACTTGTCAAAGGCCATGCAATAGGGTGTCAGGATTCAAAAACAGTCAGCCTGGCACCAGAGGTCTCTCTGGGAGCTTGCTGTCTAATAGAACAATGAAACTCATTCCCATCTAGAAAAATGGGAAGCTATATAAAACCTAGTACTGAACAACTTCTGAAGAAACTTGATTTCATCAGCCTGTGAGTAATGTCTTTCACCTCTGGGCCTGGTTCTTCTTACCTATCAAAGTGAATAGTGAGCAGAAAGAGCACTCTGAACCTTTCACTCCAGAGTTCCCTGCTTTTACCTCTTCAGCAAAACTTGCCTTTCCAGGATAACCTAGTGGCACTGAAAAACAGGGAGGACTTGTGTCTTTCCAGTAAATCTGGAAAAAGTAGAGCAGGGTGTGGAAGGTCTCAAACAGACAGCAGTGGTGCCTAACACCTGTGGGGGAGGCTGCATGACTGCTTCAGGAAGGCCAGGAGACTGGCTGGCCCCTCTGCTTTGTAACTTCAGCAGTCAGTACTCTAATTTCCTTTGTGTGAGGCTGATTCTTTTTATGCGGTATTCTTTTATGTCTAAGGACATTAATTGTATTTAGTTTTGCTTGCTCTGTAACTGTTACTTCATATTAGGATTAACTTGTTGAATTGATACATATTTTTTAAGTTTAAGGTATGTCTGTCGATGATCCTTGGTTATATGCTCATCTTTAATTTTAAAATTTAGAATTACCACCTATGCAGATCTATCCATTTTATGCAGCCCACTTGCTGTGTTTATTCTGGAAGGGATCTACCTACTGTTTGCTGGGATCAGCCAGTAGTAGCTGATATTCTCGGTCAGGGAACTCCCCATTTCTCCTGGGTATCACCAACTATATGGGACCCCGCCATGCCCCTCAGACTTAACCACCAGCTCTTGCATTTAAAAGAGTCTCTCATTACTGAGCCCATGTGACTGTTTCTAAAGCAGATCCACAGCACTGCACCCCAGTCCTTCCTGTGTCTGCTAACTCCACATAGCTTCTTCCTCAGGCCATTCCTATCTGCTGACCATCTTTTTTGGCCTGTGAGGTTAAACTCTCATGTCCTAATGTAATAGTCTGGATGTTTGGGGGTTTTAGGGCAAGAAGGGGTGGCTGCAAGTTATGCTTAGTCTACTATTTTCCACTAGAACTCTTGGAAGTTTTTAAAAACTTAAAATTTTTAAATAGGTAACACATTTACATGGTACAAAATTGAAAGAGTACAAAGGGTGTACGTTTGGAGAAACAGTAGGTGTTTTCTTCACCGAACAGTAGCTATTAGAGATCATTGTAAAAGAGCTCCTTTATTCTTTTTTTAAATATTGGCTTAGTATTCTGTTGAATGATGTAATTACCTACTTTATGCATTAAAATCCGAGTTCTAAGTTTCTTATTTAAAAAATGTCATTCTCTGCCTCACAAAAAGAAGGCGAAGTTGTTCACCTATACTACCAGGGCTCCAGCAGCCATGACTCCATTCTGTTTTGCAGCTGAAGACTTATAGTGAGAAACTGGACAAAGAGCAAGCAGCCCTTGAGAAGATAGAATCCAAAGCTGATCCAAGGTAAGAGGTTTCAGCATGCACTTGTTTTTGCTTTCTTGAAAGTAACTTTGCTGATACTTAACTGGCTTAATTTGTTTAAACACAGAACAAAGCAGCCAAAGGCTATTGGTCTGGCCCCTGCAGGTCAGATCATTTTACTGCTCATCCAGAAAGTGGTGAGACTCTGTTACTCTGAAATATGCTTGGGCTGCCCTGGGTTAGCCACCTTTCTTCCCATACCCCTTGTGTGCAGAAGCAGCATAGTTTTTTGTTTTTCTGTTTTTCAAAATGGTCATACCTTCATAGTACAGAAAAGGGTGTGTGGTAAAAAATGTTTCTCTCACTCCTGCCCCCAGCCACCCAATTCTCTTCCCTAGAGTTCACTCTTGTTACAAGTTTTTAAACAGCACCTGCCTCCTTGGTAGAAAAGGTGCAGTCTTTTCTGTCAAGACACAGCTACTGTAGGTATTTGTTCTTCCATGTAGAATGAATTGTCATTAAAGCATTAGAGGAGAGAAAGCACCTTAACATTTGACCTTTTTAGCTTCAGACTGTTTCAGTGGTAAAGTCTCCCAGGAGCTTCTTGTTTGAATAAGACTGAAATCATAAAAAGTTGGAGGCACAGAATAAGGAGTTCTGGTTTGATGAACATTTTTAGCAAAAAGCACCCATAGGTAACTTGACTCTAGAATTAGAAACCTTTCTTTCATGAAATGGACCAAAGCACTGTCAGATATTTGATACTTTTATTGTCAAATTAGTGCTTTTAATGACCTTAATCGGTTTCCTTTTCAGAATGAATTTTAAAAATAGTTTTCAATAACACATATTCCTCGAATACAGTTGAATAATTGGTATCATTAACTATATCCAGAACTATTGAAACTGATGATTCTATAGTTGATATTTTAATTCTGGAAGCTGTAATGTTTGCTTGGATCCGGCATGATGATCTTGGGTGTATAAATGAATAATAATGTCAGTTAAATGGAAGTCAGTGTCATTTGTGGAGAATCCATGAGACACTCTTAGAGCTGAGAAAGGAAATTAAAAAGAGAGTCCTTCTTTAGCTGGGAACCTGCTTTTAGCTGTGATTCATAAAATCATAATGGCTTGCCTATGTCATTTTTTTTTTTTTTCTTTTCTCTTCAGTATCCTACAGAACCTGAGAGCACTTGTGGCTATGAATGAAAATCTGAAAAGTCAAGAACAGGAATTTAAAGCACATTGTCGAGTAAGTATTGTTTTGTGTTAGCAAATAAACCAGGACTCTTAACCAAATCTCTTGGTTTACCTCCATTGTCCTGTTGTGACGTCCTACCCAGTGCAGTTTAAAAAGCAGATTCATATAGCAGTTATTTGTCAGTTGTATAAACTGAATAGAGCGCCATGGTTGGGACCCTCCAAAGACACCAGAAGTAAGTCAGATTAGTAACTGTGCCAAACCCAAAACAAACAATGTCACCTAACTTACAAAGGTATTTGAAAGAAAAGTCTTATAAAATTTTTGAAAAAATATATTTTGTCAACAGATGGCCTTTGTGAAAAGAGTAACATCATACAAAACCAAGGCTGCCCTGAAAACCTGGGATGTCTATACCCTATGTATAAGTCCTGCCTGCCACCTTCTGGAAACTTGTAGTCTAGTCATGGGTTGATGTGTGCTCAGGTGACTAGTGTGAGACAGGAAATGACACCAGACAAGTTCTGTGTGAGCTCCAGGGGAGGAAAAGGCACTTCAGCACAGGAGCCATCAATAGGTAGATGTTACTTAACCAGGGAGGACAGCAAGTGGAAGAGGGACTTGATGAGGCAGAGTTCCAGGCTGGAAGATGGACAGGTGAATAAGGTTGAGGCCTGCTGGGGAGAGGAAGCAGGCAAGATCAATTGGAACTAGACTGTATACCACTTGTTACTTTCATTGCCCAGTGATCATTGCCCAGTGATTACTGCATACCTCACCAGCCCTTCAGAAAGAAAGGCCTCTTTTGATGGAGGCATAGCTAGCTGCCTGTAGCCTCCTGAAAAGAACTTTCCCAGGCTGAGAATTGGGGATCAGGGCAGCTACCCCATTAGCTTTTTGTCCCAGAATAAATTCATGGAATGTGAAAATAAGACTTGTAGACCAAATAGTTGAATAATTGCATCTGGTTACTAACTTGTCCAGATTTTGTAAACGTTCATGTTGCTTTTAAAGGAGGAGATGACACGGCTACAGCAAGAAATTGAAAACCTGAAAGCTGAGAGAGCACCAAATGGAGATGAAAAGGTAAAGGCTCTGAATTAGTCCTTGGGACTGTCAGGTGCTCTTATGCCTTACATGGGGAAAAGATAGTTCTAGAGAACCAAAGACCAGACAGTCTGGTGCTAACTTATCCTATGAAAACACATTTCTCAGCTGTTTTCCTTCTGTGATCTTAGATTTGCATCCATCTCTTTACTCTTTCCTCTGGGAGTTAAAGGCAGCAGAGGGCTTGGAAGGCAGCAACCCAGATGCGAATTAACAGATTACACAACTGTGGCCTCCCTCTGTTTAGGGAGATGTTTCCAGGAAAAGTCTGAGCTCTGTTTCCTGCTCATCCATTCCTTAAATTTTCTGCCTCATTTCACCTTTCTCCTTTCCTACCTAAGATAATGCCGCACTCCCAAAAGGCAGCAACAACATGAAGAAGGAGAGAGCAGTATTAGATTCAGTGGAACAGCTCCCGGCTTGCAGGAGCAGTCTGGGTTTAGGGAACACACCTGGCCAGCTAGTTCTCTGAACAAAGGACTTAATCTTCCAAGTTGCTAGCATGAATTTTCATTAAACCTTAAATTGTAAGAAACAAGGAACTTGAGGCTTAGGGAGGGCAAGAGTGTCCAGCCACCCAGCACCAGACCACATGCCCTGCTGCCCAGCCTAGCACTCTGCACTGGACTGTGCCCATGGCTGTATAGGACACTGCCATGCCCAGCGGGGAGACGAAGGCCTTGCAGGTCTCTTCTCACTTCCTGAGTGGTTGCATTATTTCACCCAAGCCATACAACTCTTCACATCTGTGAGGGGACTGGCATGGGTGAACAGGAGAGCCCAGGAGGCAGTGGTATCCCACTGGGTCATTGTCATAGAGCCCACCTCTCCAGTTGTTTCTAAAACTTTGAGCCTTTAAAGCTCAAATCATCAGCATGGTTAGCCTCTGAATTTGCACAAATTAGACTCTCAGGATCTTATTTCTCTTCCCAGCACATCTTGTTAGTGAGAGTCTTACATTCAAAAAGAGCTACAGTTTACTGTATGTGTAACTGACAGATACCTAAGAACAATTTAAAATCTGGGGCTCATCTAAGGGCAATTTCCTTTCTGCTCTCTTCAGAAATGCTCAAGGGACATCAGTGCATTTCTTAGCTGCACCCTTTTGCCCCTACCTGGCCCCTGCCTACATCTAGATCTTTGGCTTCTGTCCCATTCCCAAATGCTCAGCAGAAGTGTTTATTATGTTTTCATTGTTTCAGACCCTCCCCAGTGGAGAGCCACCTGGTACCCTGACCTCTGCAAGGACTCATGATGTAAGTACCTGCTGCTCAGGGTTGGCGTTGTCTCCTGAGGGCAGGCAGCCAGCTTTGCAATCTCCTGTGATGGCTTCTCATGCCCATTTTAATGTGCTATATGGCCGGCTCCACATCTGTGCTTTTCAGGGCATTTTCCCATTTGATACAGCTGGCCCCTCAGATGGAGGCAGGGTCTCACCAGGAATGGCCCTGAAGGTCACCCTTCTGGTGGGTTTTCTCCCAGTCCCATGTACAAGTATCTTGTTTTCATGCTGGCATCTCAGTTGGGAAGGGGAGAGGCCTGCATTGGCCACATATGCTGGTCACCATTCAGGCTCTGAGGGGTGGGGTGGTATATAGGGGAAGACCTTCTCTTTGTTGTACTATATACCAGGCTCAGCAAACTTTCCGTAAAGGTCCACATAGTAACTCTTCACCTTTGTGAGCCAGCTCTGCTGTAGTGACCATAGTTTATTGGTAAATGAATGGACATGGCTATGTTCCAATAAAACTTTATTTACAAAAATGGGCCACAAGGCATATTTGGCCCAAAGGTTGTCGGATTTAGCTCAGAGGCTGTAGTTTGTCACCCTCTTCTGAGTTAAATCAGTGCTCCCAGCATTCCAAAAACCTCCCGGAGAAAGATGGGAAAGGAAGTGGAGGAAAGGAAAAGCAGGAAAACTGTAAGCCTTCTTGAAGGGTTCCTCTTTCCTTTGTACTCTCATAATATCCCTGGAAAATGAGCTTCAGCACTCTTCCAGTGAAGTCTGTTGGAGATTACCTGCAGCTGAGTCCCTTGGGTGGGTGTGTGTGGGTGTGGGGATGTTTATATTCTCCACGCTGAGCCCCTTGAAGGGGTGTGTGTTTGTGTTTGTGTGTGTGTTTATATTACCCATGCAGAGCCCCTTGGGTGTGTGTGTGTGTGTGTGTGTGTGTGTGTGTGTGTGTGTGTGGTGTGTGTGGTGTGTTTATATTCCCCGTGCTGAGGAAAGAGGGCTCCTTTGACTTCTTTTATAACTTTCTCTGAAGTGACAAACCATCCAGCTATTTCTCTTACCCTGCTGGGTTCGATGGGGGACTAGTTTCTTTCTATTTTCTATATCAGTGCTGTCCAAAAGAATTTTCTGCAGTGATGAAAATGTTCTGTATCTGCACTGTCTGCTGTGGCTAATGGCCATCACATTGGATAACACAGTTCTAAGTAGAAACAGAAAACTAGCATAATCTCCAAATACAGGCATAAAACAACACAATCTTTAAGTAATGATTTGTCTCCACATCATTCATTATAGGTTTTTGCAGAAGAAGGGCATATACGTTTGGAGGTTAAGAACATTGGATTCAGACTGGGGGCCAGAAGGAAGAGTTTTATAACATGATATGAAAGGGTATCAAGGGTCTCAGATAGGTCCCAGACACTAAACTTGGCCATTTGAGAAGAGAAATTTAAGGCCTTAGGATAGGGCAGATATGATAAAATCATATTCAACTTTCAAAGAGTCCATTAAAGAGTGAAAGTTTTCTATTCTCAGATAATTACAGCCTTTTCCAATTTTTAGGAAGACCTAGACAGACGGTATAATATGGAGAAAGAGAAACTTTACAAGATACGTTTACTACAGGTAAGTAAAAAAAGGACAAAAATATGCATAAATGCTTCTAACTAGGTATAAATGTCCTGTGACAGAACTAGGAAGTCTCAATATCTAGGAACTAGAGAAAAATAAGTCATGAGCCTGCTGTTCACCAGTCTTCTTTCTATCTGGAGTACAGCTCAGCAATTTAAGATGTTGGTAAAAACATCTCACATTGGTATGTTACTTTAACAACCACTCCTTTGAGTTAATCCTCATCCCAGGTGGAAACTGGATATTATATCCTATTTTCTTTTTAAAGAAATTGACTCAAATAAGGTGAGTACTTGCCCAGAGTCAAGCAGCTGGTAGGTGCCAGAGTCAGGATTCTAGTTACCTAGTACTCATCAGGTACTAAACGAGAATTGTTCTCTAGTACTGTTCCTCTGAAACTAAGTGCCATTTCAACTGGTTTTTTGATAACTGGTGGTTTATTAGAGTGGCATCAAACATGGGGAAGTAGGTTTCAAAATTAGCTCTAAAATTTAATTCATGCAGAGTCAAAATTACATTTAAAATCCCCTACATTGCCAGGATTTACTCATGGAAGCTCAAAAGCCAAAAGTTCCTTGTGTTGCACTTTGGTTCAAGCCAACCTTCTGTTCACTGGGAGGGAAAGGCTGGGCTGTGGTGGGAATGGCCAAGGGGCTGCAGAGGCCAGTGAGATCCCGTTTCCCCTCTCTCTGGCACGTACTTATTTTGCTGAGCTGTTACAGTTAAATTTAGGTGAGTCAAATTTGTCCTGGTTACAGACTCTACTAATCTTTAAAGAGGCACAGAATTAAATAAAATCGGGACAGTACAGCAGCGTATTTGGAAACTTTGAGTGCTTTGTATATATTCAGCATTGCATCGGGTCCCAGAAATAATAAATAGGATGACCCATCTCCTGGAAACGCTGACTATTTGAGAACCAAGACATGTCTATATATACACTAAAGTACAAGGGAGTTTATGTGCAAATTGCTTACTAAGGGCAGGTTCAGACTGGCTAGGGGAAAGTTTCAATAAAGCCAGTGGCTTGCTGAGGGCAAGGATCTGAGTCAAGCCGTGGCTGTAGAATGCGTGGAAATGAACTGACAGAGGACAGATTGCAGGGCCATAACTGATGGAACTTAGTATCGATTGAGATAAAAAGAGGAGTCAAGAATGATGCTGGAATTTCTGACACAAGGGTGGATGACATTTGTGTTATTCATTGAGAAAAAGCATAAAAGAGAAGGAATGGACTAGGGTTAAGGGCGAGAGGAGAAGTATAAATGGGAGTGTTAATGAGATCTGTTTGGGGCTTTTCAAAGTTGGGGTACTCAACCACATTTAAATGTCCAAGGAGTGCTTGGTTGTCAGGCCTCACTCCCAGAGTAGTATGGGCCAGAGATTTGGATGCCTGGGCAGTGATGAGGACTGGGACTGTGGAATGTGGAAGAGGCCCTGAGACTAACCCTGGTGAGCATATGTGAGGATAGGCAGAGCAGAAGGACGGATCCCCAAGTGAGGATGCGCCTGAGCAGCCAGATGGGAAAACAAGTGTACGAGGCCCGTGGGAGCCTAGCAAAGAGCTCAGCAGAGAGAGTGGGAAGCGTCACTAGAAATCAAGAAAGCTAGGAGCTGAGAACTGTCCATGAGGTGTGTCCCTGGGAAGGTGCTCAGCGACTTTGGCAAAAGCAGTTCAGTGCGGCACTGGGGAGAGCCCAGTTACAGTGGGTTGAAGGAGGACTTGTGTGGACAGAGACGCTCGTGTCCATGGCTCTCAGTACATTTCTCTTACCTGTAAAAGGGAAGAGAGAGGCTGATAGCTCAAAGGTGATGGGACTTAAAGAAGGGCTTTTTTTTTTTTATGAGATGGAATCTCACTTTGTCACCCAATCTAGAGTGCAATGGCACAATCTTGGCCCACTGCAACCTCCGCCTTCTGGGTTCAAGCAGTTCTCCTGCCTCAGCCTCCTGAGTAGCTGGAATTACAGGCATGCACCAGGACGCTCAGCTAATTTTTGTATTTTTAGTAGAGACAGGGTTTCATCATGTTGGTCAGGCTGATCTCAAACTCCTGACTTCGCGATCCACCTGCCTCAGCCACCCAAAGTGTTGGAATTACAGGTGTGAGACTCCTTGCCCGGCCTAAATAAAGGGGCTTTTAAGGAGTGAGGACATGAATTTATTTAAATGCTGCTGAGAAGGGTCAGTAGGTAGGAAAACAGATGCAGTAAAAGACTGAATAGTTGTATCTTAAGACTCTTGAAAGAAAACTAGAAGTCAGGGCCTGAGCACCTGTAGAGAGTGTAACCTTGACCTAAGGGAGAAATACATCCTTCGCTCTCCATAGAACTGCTGAGACCCAGTTTTGGATTAGGTCACCAGAACTGAATGTGGGTTTCCCACCAGGAGGCTCCTGTTTTCTCAGTGAATTAGAGATTCACATCTGGTGCTGCAGGTGAAGCAGGCATGAGAGTGGGAAGATGTGGTGGACAGAGGGATGCAGGCACAGAAGAAAGGCAGTGCTTACAGCCCACTTGGTTTGGAGACTACACATGTTCAGTGGGATCCATGCACAAGTGAGTGGCTTACCCTCCCAGCAGCTGCACCTGCCCTGTGCCACACCACACACAGCAGTGCCATGCCTCCCAGACCCAGTCAGTAGGGCAATTTCTGGAGTCTGTGGAAGGGAGAAAGTAGGTCGTAGGAGCTTTTCCACCAGGATGAGGAATTTGGGGTGCATGTAGAGGCAGGCAGCAAGGTGGCATAGCTTCCCATCATTTTGAGCATTTCTGTTATTGCCTGTCCCCACCTGGCAGTGGTGGAGCTGGCTACTTTAGAGTCCTTGGGGGCCTTGGTTGCAGGTTCTGTCCATAGAAGCCCTTCCCATTCAGTGTCTTCCCTCCTGGTCCATTCATCTGGTGTCTTCTCTGGTTCAGTTCATAGCCACGCCTCCTCCCACACCTAGGAAAGTGGGAAAGTCAATCCAAATCTGAGATGGGGACCTTTAAGCTGATGGCAGAAGTTTGTGCCTGCATTCTAGGGTGTGTGGTTGGGCTCAGATCGGGGTGCAGGCAATATTTTGACTCCCCAAAGAAGTAAGGCCTTTTACCAAATAGTACTGTCTCTGCCTCCCTTTTGCATTTAGGCTCGAAGAAATCGAGAAATAGCTATTTTGCACCACAAGATTGATGAAGTCCCCAGTCGTGCCGAGCTAATACAGTATCAGAAGAGATTTATTGAACTCTACCGCCAGAGTAGGTGCATCAACCACAGACAAGCTCTCGAGGCTGGGGAGGGACAGGAGGCGAGGGGTCTGTCCCACTTTAGCATGGGAGAGCGTGCACCAAAGTGCAGTCCACAAGGCCAACACCAGAAAGCTCTGTTTCATCATCAGGCCCGCTTGGCAGTCCCGGGAGCAGCACTGTGGTGCTCTCACTGCCCTCTCCACGGACAGATTGTTGAACCAGTTGCGCTCTTAGAATAAAGCTTCAAAGCAGCCCTCATCCTGGTCCTCCACACAGCCTTCCCTGTGTTCCTGCACCACTTTCCAGCTTCACACAGAACATCGTGACCCTAATCTCTGAAGATCAGTCCTCACTCATGGTTCTTCCCTGCAGACTTCCGTGCTGATGTGGTCCTCAACCCTTAACAGCATCATATTCACCCAGTAACCCAGGTTCGTGTCTCCCTCAGCCTGAATAAAGGCCATCAGGCTCAGAGTGGCCTTCAAGGCTGCCATTGCCTTTCTCTTCCTACGACTCCTGCCACATCTGCTCTTGCATCATATGTCAGCTAAATGACCTTTAGCTGGGTGCCTCCAAGTCCCCTAGCCACACATCTGATTCTGTCACTTCTGTCTCTGCTAACAAATCTTCAGGAATTCCTTAGTCCCTACTGAATAAAGCCTCTTTCTTTACTATGCCTGGGTTCCTCCCCAGTCTGAGTTGCCTGCCTAGAGGCCCCTTTCCTGATCTGAACCCTCACTTTGGCCTCGCCAGTCTCTACACTGCCTCTAAGCAAACCCTGAGCTTTGACGTTTTAGCCTTGACTCCTGTTCCTGGATCCCTTCTCTTCTGTCAGGCTAAATTCTTCAAGACCCAACTCAGATCCTGTAAATCTATTCTAGGCTTCCTACCCCAGGCAAGAACTGATCATCTCTTCTCTAGCCTCCCACTTTTGTATGTCCCTATGATGCCTCAAACTCCACAGGCAGAAAACAATTTAGCCCCCGTACCCCATATTCCTCTTAGCCAAACTGGACCCCTCTCAGTTCTCTGACTCAAGCTGCTTGCCAGTTCTGCGTCTTACTAATTTTCAAGTCTGTTTCTTCTGGACTGCTACTGTAACCGCCTTTCTTTGCCACCCAGAGTCTAATTAGATCCTTCTCAACATATATTTGATCATTTTACTCTAAAAGCTTTAAAACTTAATAGCTCCCTGCAACTTTTTGGGTAATGTTTAGAATCCTAAATATACTGTACTAAGTCCTGCATCGTCTTGGCCCACTTCACCCAGCTTCACCCCTCTTGTACATCTGCATCTTGGCCTGTGAGCTGGTACCCAAGTCCAGAGTGCCGTTATCCTACAATTCCCGCTTAGTATTTCAAAATCCACCTAAGACTTTGCCTTGAGGGCTTGGCCTCTCCAGCTTCCTTCCTGGTGTAAGCTACAGCACTGACTCTATTGGAGGAGTTCAGATTACGCTTCCTTCACATCCTCTCTTCCACCACGCTGGGATTTCATCCAGTCCTCACATTGGACTCAGATGATCAGAGGTGGGGATCAGCAGTGACAGTTTTCACCAGAAAGTAGTTTCTGCTTTAAGTTAAGTCTTTCCCTTTAATTTTCTATTCCTGCTTGCTTCAAAGCTTTTGGCAATAATAATAATACTTGCATCTGTATATTTCACAGAACAAACTTCAAACAGGTTAAAGTCATTTGGTAAAGACATGTTTACACTAAGGACATTTTCAAGCAGTTGCACCAAAATACCTGTATCAATTTATTATTGTCAAATATCTACAACCCCCACCAATTTCTTTAGCTGGATAAGGTAAGGATGACTGGTCCATTTATGGGAGTGATTTTCAACTTTGGGTACTCACTGTCACCACCTGGGTCCCACCTTCAGGCATTCTCCTTTTGTTGATCCTAAGACTTGTTAGTAGCTTCCCAGGCGATTCTGTTTGTACACTGTGGGGTTTCTGCAGACTAAACTCCCAGGCCTGACAGCTGTCCTGGCAGTGCATTCATCGGGGAGAGGGCAGGTAGGTCGTTCTGATACCTGTTCTTATTCATGTGCTGATTTCTTTACATTTACAGTTTCAGCAGTGCACAAAGAAACCAAGCAGTTCTTCACTTTATATAATACCCTGGACGATAAAAAGGTTTATTTGGAAAAAGAGGTAAGAACATTTGTAAAAAGAAAATGGCTTAATCAGATGATCAGGTAACAGCGCAGTTGACTCCAGGAAGTCAAATGGAACTTGATGTCTGGGACAGATAATGTTCAGCATTAGCAGAAAGAGTGCCTATTTTATATGCTAAGTGCTGGCCTACCCAGTCAGAAAGTGCAAGATTCCTTTGGAGCCCAGATTGTCTGCTGTGAAGTGAGATTAGTGGACAGCCATTCTACAGTGCTGTGGGAGAAATGCCATTGTTAAAAGGAGCACAATGGAAGCTCTGGAGTTGGTGAGACTAGTTTGAATTTTAAAGGAAGGGAGGAACCAGTTGAGTGAAACGGGTTTGGGCTTGGTATCATTTACAGGGAGAAAGTAGCATTTAATCATCAGTGGCAGACATAGGCATGAACTAAAAGGTTTGTAAAATTCAAAGCAGGGGTGAAAGAGGGTTGATATGGTCACTGTCACTCCCTGCATCTTTCTAACACTTAAAAACAGGTTAAACTGAGCTTTCCCGAGTTGATGACAAACAAACGACTGAGGCACAGTATGCAGATATGTGTTAATTTTAAAAAGAAAGAAAAATCCTGGTCTTCACCAAGACAGCACAGTGTCCTGAAGAGAATACGGGCTTTGGAGTCAATCAGATTTGGGTTTATGTGGGTTATAGTGTGGCCTCATTTTTCTCACCTGTAAAATGGGGATAACACCTGATTGCATTGGTGATGATTATAATGAGGACAGAATGAGAAAATGTAAAGTTCCTTATACATGGTGGATTCCTTGTATAAAGTTCCTTATACATGGAGTATGGTAGTATATACTCGTTCCTACCCTCCCCCTCACCTTGAGGTTGACAGAATGTGTTTTCATTTTATCATCACCTTGCAGCTTACAATAATATTACAGATGTGGCTTTTACCTGCCCAAATTGAGGCATCTATAATTACTGTCACATTTATCACCTGCTGTCAAACCAGGTAGATCTCTGTCAGCCTAGAGGGCACTCCTTGAGAAGTTGTTTTATTTTTCTGTGTATCTGGGGCCTTATACAGTGGCAGGCATATAACAGACATTTGACAAATGCTTGAATAGATGAATTCACCTTGTTGGGATTTGCATCAGACCTGGGGTCTGTGCTCTGCCCCACATCCTGTCCTCAGAGCCCTCCTGCCTGACTTAGGGGTAGGCCAGCCTCTTCCCAAAGGCCTTAAAACTCCATTGACCTTCCTTCATCAGCAGTGTTTAAAGTTCTTCCACTATTTAAAAACTAGGAATATTGTGAGGCGGAGTGGGGAGCTGGGCTTCTTAATTCCAAGCCACATTAACACAGAGTGTTATATTTGAATAAATTTGGTATTTTATTTTAAATGGATTTATGCCTATGGTATTTTAACTTTAAAACCTTCTTGTGTAGTAGTAAGGATAAGAAATATTACTACATTGCAGGCTGTGAACCTAAAGTTAAAATGTGGTAATTACTTAGTTCTGAGCCTCCAAGTTGAGTCGTTTTATGGCCAGAAAGATGACCCAGGTTTCCTTACTCCTGTCTCAGAGCCCTTCCCAGGACTGTATAATTGGGGCAGATAGAGGATCTCCTGTGGGGCTAAGGCAGTGTCCATGGAGCCTTGAACAGTGCATCTTCTTGGAGACACTCAGCCACCCAGCAGCTTGCTTCATTGGCGAGAAGATTCTGTGGGAAGGAATACGGTGAACACAGTTCTCACTCTCCACACTGTCTGACTCCCTTAAGCTGTTATCCCTGAAAATAAAGTGCAGTATTTGGCAAGATGGAAAGGGCTATGGTGGCAGCTTGCCTAGAGAGCCCTAATGTTAGCTTGGTGTCCTCTCAGCTGGGATCCAGGTCCCTTCAAAGCACCCTCTCCCTACATTCCTGTGGGAATGCCCTGTAGAAAGAGGGAATTTTTTGTGAGAAGAAGGTGGATTCCCTGAGGAAAACTGAGACTGAGAACATGTGGCTCATTTTTTTTCATATGTTACTTTAATCTTCATAAACAAGGCATGTGTTCCTTGCAGAAGCAGTATCTGGAGACAGGCAATTGCAGCAATTGTAGTAGTGTGGACATCTTTTTGCCTTTCTTACAGTTTCATTTGTGTTTTTTTACTTACCCAGATTAGTCTTCTGAACTCAATTCATGAGAACTTCTCACAGTAAGTACTGTCAGTTCTCCTTCCTGCTAATACCCTGTCACTCTGCTCTTTGAATTCAGCCCACCTCACATTGCTGTAATGTGTTTGAAAAAGGCACATGCAAGACTTAATGCTGGGTATGTGATTCTTACTCTTTTAGCCCTTCTGCGAAATGCAAATATATCTTGTTTACACTGTCTGGAGTACCTGCAAAAATGTAACGATAGTAGAGTGAAGGAAGAGCTTAGGAAAAAAAGTTAACTTTCAAATAATTTGACTGTGCCTACCTACTAAAATCTTTCTGTATATTATCAAATTAATATTTGTTAATGAACACGTAGAGATGCTTTAAAATTTACATAATAGAATTTATATAATTTAAAAAATTTTTTAAATCTCATGGTAGTTTTTGTTAATGTGTACATTCTCCAGAAACTAAATGTCAAGACCCACCTGTTCCCAAATCATACCAGTCCTCAAGCATGTCCATTGCCCCTCCCCCCCACCATCCAGCAGCCCCAGGGCTTGCTCCTTGGAGAGCATGCTTCCCTTCTCTCTGGCACAAATCTCTGCTGTCGCTTGTCAGGTGACAGGGGACACATTGAGACTGAGATCACAATGAATTACAGGTTCTAGATTTTAAGCTTCTTTTCTAATTAAAAAAAAAAAGGGAAGCCCACAGCTTTCTAATAAGATTCAGATTCACTATGTATATAACATACAACCTTGTGACATTTGTAAAAATGCCATTTTCATCTTTCCCAGTGATTGAGAGAGCCTGTGGTTTGAGTATTTTGTGAAGAGTTCTGCTCCATCAGCACATCCTTTATGAGAATTCTTAGTGTGTGCACACGTGCATGCGCGTGTGTGTTCTGATCCTCCTGGTATCCTTCCCTCTACAGAGTTGGGAGGTGAAGAGGAATGTTTTAGGACATCAAGGAATCTACTTGTTTAGCTGCTGCTTCTAGAAATAGGACCAGGTTGCTCAGCCCTGATTTTAGGAAATCTCAGAATATGTCTACCAATCTCAAGTATCTCCCAATCCTCAAATTTTATAAACCAAATGAAATTCATTGCTTAAGCAGTACATGCCATATTTCAAATAAATAATATTTTTGTTAATTTTAATCACATTTTAAGAAAAGACATATTAGTTTAGAAAGTTATAGGGAAATTACGAGAAAAAAGATTAATATGCAGTTATAAGACCAGGCTAATATCCATGCCCTCTCAGAGGTATTGAATCCTTAATTGCCTGGGATTCCAGAGGCCCCCATGGCTCCACTGCCTTGCAAAGGCCTAGTTGCATTTTGGGACATAGTCTGGATACAAAGCTGACTGCTTGCCATCTCCCCCTGCCTCAGAGTCCTGTGTGCCACTCATAACTCTGCTGGTTTTTCTTTCAGAGCCATGGCCTCTCCTGCTGCCCGGGACCAGTTTTTACGTCAGATGGAACAGATCGTAGAAGGAATTAAGCAAAGTAGAATGAAGGTCAGTTGGCTTCTTTTCTGTAATGCAGCCCAGGTTTTATGTAATGCATTTATGTAATGCAGCCCTGGTGACAGGGAAGGTCCTGGGAAGAATAGGCCTCTTCTGGTAGTTGGGGAATGTGCCCTCAATCCTGAAAAGACACATTTCTGCAGAGGGATTCCCACCATGTCTCTCACTCTGTAGTGGGCAGAGCCTGTCCCATGGGATGCCTATACCCAGTGGTTTAAAAGCTGCTGTTAGGAGTAGCTCCCAGGATTGAACACCTACTTGGTCAGCATACCAAGCACTGTGCTGACCTTCCTAAAAAACCTGAAGTGAACAGTATTACACCCATTTTACAGATGAGGAACCCACTTTTCACCAGCAGGCTTCCTCTCTTGACTAGATTCACTTCCTCGGTGGATCTGTGATACCTGACATTCTGCCACAAGAGATTCAGTCCTTAGAATCTTAGGATCTTGAGAGCATTTTTATTTTCAGGAACCCCCTATAAAAAAGGGAAATCATTGCTGAACTGAATTCTGCTAAAGTGAGAGGAAATTCAACCTCAGAAGTCTGAAGAGAAAAGAGAGGCACCACTCAGGGTGCAACATGGGATTTTCCTACAGACACAACTGCAGTTTCCTACCACCATTCTCAGATGAATCCTAACTAGTACTTCCAAATAGCTCTTGCTTCTGGTCCTGTTTAAAAAATGTATCACACCAGAGTGGTTCTTTGACAAGGCAGTAAAATCTTCCAGGGACTTAGGGCTTCTCCTCTTATCATCTCGGGGCAAAGGGCCCCTGAGAGTGAAACCAAAATGTAAACACATAAGAAAGAAGGAATTACCCATAGGTCCTGTCATCATAAAATACCCTGTTACAGAAAACAAACATTCAAGCCGCCTGTAATCTCTCACAAGAGTTGAGCTAAGGGCAGAAGTGCTCCATAGCCCTTTCCCTGTAGAAAAATACCATTAATCTCTCTGTGAATGGCTTCAATAAAACAATGTCAAAGGAGGAGAAAAAAAGTATCGCTAGAAACAAGCACGATTTCTCAGACTATTCAGCCACAAAAATGAGAACTACGTAAGTCAGTACTTGCCTGTATATGCACACTCACCCGAGCCAGGATAGGCTGTTTTGCAGAGAGCAAATGCAGTCCCCTCTCAATGACCTGGGGTGTGAGTAGGTGGAAGGCAGAGAACCTGGCTGACCAAAAGCCTGTGACAACCCAGGTGTCAGTGTGGTGGTCAACGTGTACCCTGCCATTGCTCCTCAGAAAGCTGCTCTGGTTCAGTCAAGAACAACAGGAATTCATGGAGTTTTTTTCCTTTGGCTTCCGCTTCCTGTCAGTGTAAACAGGAAGCGGAAGCCAAAGGAAAAAAACTCCATGAATTCCTGTTGTTCTTGACTATGAACCAGAGCAGGGAAAGAAATGGGCCTCACCTTCACTCTCCCCCAGGCTTCATGCTCTTGGCACCTCAGTGCTGACCAGTGTGAATAGGCATCCCTGTATCTGTCTCTCCCCTCCATGGTGGGTATCAGATGGGCCAATGGTACCCAGGGCAGAGTGGGCTCTCTTTCTCAAGTCTGCATCCCCAGTGGCTAACGTGGCACCTAACCCCTGATTAAGCCCTCAAGGACTGTTTGTTGAATGAGTGAATTCATTCAGTGGAGTCAAAGAGCAGTTCTCAAAGAGGGTTCCAGATATGCTTTAAATGTTGAATGTTGACACTGTGAATAGAACAGCACTCACTTGGATGGATGTGTTTTATTGTGTTTATTTGAAAAAAAAAATGTAGCTTTCCCTGTAATGGTGCCATAATGGGTCCTGCTGTCATAGATGTAGCAGGGGAATCTGTGTCCTCTCAAGCACAGGTTTCTCAGAATCAGCAGGTTCAGAGTGTCACATTGTAGACCAGCATTGGGTGGCAATAATTGAATAGGTATTTATGCTTGGCACAAGCACTTCACAGACCTAGGATGTGAAGAGGTGATAAGTAGGGAATAAGAATGGTATGTTTCGGTAAAGGGACACTAAGAAGAGTGTGCAAATGAGGCTTATATCAAAGAGTCAACTCCGGATTCTTAGAGTTAGTTGGACTCTTACTACTTACCTCATGCATTCTAGGATGTGAAATGTTAAGAAGAAAAACTGTTTTTATTGAGCAGCTACTATGGACCAGATTGTGGATCATTCACTCAATATCTAATGTCGTGTGCTTCTCATAACAAAAACTGTGATATACATAATTTAAGTGCATTGCTACCTCACTAGGATATAATCAGTCATGGTGAGTGTTTACTAAAGTACAGAGCAGACAGGAAAGGCCTGAGATAGAGCTTCCAGTTATGCTAATAAGAGAGAGGGACCTAGCTGTGAGGTCCTAGACAGCACAGTGGAAAAGGTGTCTGCTGCTTTGACAGTTGGAGCCTATGAAGGAACAGTAGTGAGAGTTGTTGTGGGCTGGTGTGTCAGTGTGGTAGGATCATGAATGGGTGTGAGAGACCCACGCAGGCTGTGTTAGGGGTTCTGTCGACAAGGATTAGGACTTGCTGCTGAGCCAGGGCTCCAAGTGTAGTAGGACACCAACCAGGGACCCCATAGGGGACTGCCCACTCTGGAAGACTTGGGCACAAGGGAGGGCACCAAATTCAATACCTAGCATGGGTATGCAGCAGGCATCCATGTGCAGACCTGTGGAAAGAGTAGGATACAGGATCTCGAGACTCAGGAACTGGATGCAGGGTCAGGATTTGACCAGGCAGATCAGTCCCTCTATGTCATGGGTCTTTCTCTGAACAGCATTGGGATACGCCTTGGGGACACCAAGTTGCATTTGTCCCATGCAGTCAACAGAGGCCTATAGTGTGGAGGGAACTGCTGAATAAAATGTAGCCAGTTTACTTGTAGCTTATGTTTACTAAATCCCTTCCAAAGTGTAACACAGAAATCACGGTCAGGCATCTGCAAAGCCACAGCAAAGCATCTCTCGGAATTTGATTCAACAAGCTTTTGAGCACCGGCCATGAGTCAGGCACCCAGTCTGTACCATACATAACTCTTTCTGCCCTCATTTCCTGGCTGATGCTCTGGGTTTACCTTCTGGAAATACACCCCATAGCATTGCCAGCCCCACTGAAGGGTCCTCAGAGAGCCTCCTGGAGCTTCCAGCTGAGGAAACCATGTACCCATTCTCCTCTCTGTTTCATTTTCCTCACAGGACTGATCACTGTTGGGAATATTTTGTGTGTCTGTCAGGGTGCTTGCTTAACGAGAGTCTCTAGAATGTAAGTTCTATGGGAGCAGTGATTTTGCCGTGTTCACCGCTACATGTAGCTACTCAGTAGGTTCTAAGTCCTTATTTGTTGAACGAATAAACTTTTAGGTACCTTAGAAAAGTCTCTTTAAATCAAAGCCTAATGTCTATTTATGAGATAAAAATCCTGAAAATATCTTAAATCGTCTACCAGTAGAAAGATGGGTAAGTTAGCAATCAGCAGGAATTTTGTATTGTTTTTAAAATGATATTGTAGAAAATTTATAATATGAAAATACTTACACAGTTTTATTATATGAGCAGTTATTTAAATCAGGGTTTCTCAACTTCAGCACGTTAACACTTTGGGCCAGATAATTCTTTGCTGTGGGGGTATCCTGTGCACTGTATGATATTTAGCAGTATTGCTGGCCTTGACCCAGTAATGCCAGTAGTACCCACTCCCCACAGTTATGCCAGTCAAAACTCTCTCCACGCATTGCCACTGTTGTTGGGGGTGGGGGGCAAAATAGCTCCCATCTGAGAATCACCAACCTATTCATTGTGAAATTGTAGTGAGGAAAAAAAATGGAAATAGTTAATACTGAATGATAGAAAAATTGCTAAATTTTAGAGCCTCCATGTAATAGCATGCAAATAAATCAACCTGAAAAATTATATATTGAAGGAAAATACTGGAAGGAAATCCATGAAACTGTTAACAACTGCTGCCTTTTGGATTTTGCCAGCAGCCCTTGGGCAAAACACCCCATGTCTTTTCATCACCATTTCCCAAAATGTTTCAACAGATGGAAAAGAAAAAGCAAGAGAACAAAATGAGAAGAGACCAGTTGAACGACCAGTACTTGGAGCTGTTAGAAAAGCAGAGGCTATACTTTAAGACTGTGAAAGAGTTCAAGGAGGTAAGAAGAAGGTTGGGTAGCACTTTAAGGCTAATGTGAGGTATATGATCACCTCAAAAGTAGCCATTAAAAAACAGCAATATTTTGGTTTTCTTCTGGTCTGTGAAGGGAAATAACAAGACAGAGGTGTAATCTGGCAGTAAAGTATGGCATCTAAGTAGTAGAAGATTGCATTTTTCTGTGGCCCATCTTGAGGTCTAATTAAATGTTTTAAGACCTCACATCACTTTAGTTTTCCTAACACTTAGGAAGCACATTAAACTCAAACAAAATGATTTCATCAATTCGTATCAAGGGCCACCTGGAAACAGCATTTGTTGTGGATTTAGATATAGAATCTTCCCTCCTGCCAATCATAGGGTGGGGAGGGACATCAAGAAGCCATGTGGGAAAAGAGAACTTCGAAATGTCACAGACTTGGATTCGAATCCTACGTTTACGGCTTACCAGCTGTGTACTTTGGCAGTGACCTAATCCCTCCCAGCCTCAGTTTCCTTATTGGTGGGTCCCATTGGGTCAGATGAGACATATGAAACATACAGCACCAGGTCTGGGGCCTCCTAATACCCAACACTCAAACAAATTTTGTTTTTCCTTCCTGCATTTGGGCAGTTACTCTTCATTGTTCCAGAAAGAAAAGTGTCTTCCCTTGAGAGATTTTCCAAAAAGACTTCATTTTGTCCCTTGCTAAGGTCTCAGCAGCTTTATTTTAAGGGATTCCTTCTCCCTAACCTAAATCCATGGGGTTTCAGTGACTTTAGAGACTGCTGAAAATACAGCAGAGTTAAAGGTAGGTTGTATCCTGGTGTTTGGTCTGCAGAATAAAAAATGTGGTCTTTCCATGCTCATAGTTTTGTTCTTATTTTTTAAGACTTTTCTTTCTTCCTTCTTCATCTTTCCCTTCTCTTCTACGTCTTTCCTTTTTTTGTGATTTAACTTCTGGAAGCCACATCCCATGGGCATTTCAGAATCTTATCTTTTCCAGTGTTCCAAATCCTCTACCCCTGGGCAGATGCCAGTATACCTCCCTCCCCTTAAGGAGTGTACATTGTGGTAGGAGAGACTGGTGACAGGCTAAGAACAAGTCATAACAAATAAGTAGTAACAGTTCCAAACTCTGCCAGGTGAGGAGACTGATTTAGGTGATGTGGTCAGGGAGGGCCCTCTAGGGTAAGCAGTATTTAGCTCTGGGTAGAAAGAGTTCTTCAGCCACAGCAGTGCAGGGATGGTGAGGGAGGAGCTGGGGCTCCAGTCTGGGACTCCTTTGAGACTAGCACAGGCTAAAGCTGAGGTCCCAAAAGGGCAGTGAGCAAACTGGCAGGGAATAGTTAGGAACTTGCTGCCTGCCTCAGAGCGCCTCCTTCCCTTTAATCAAAATAACTCATAAGAGAAGAACTGTGTCTCAAATGTTGGTTGGAGACACCCTTTTGACAGTGTAGAAACAAAACACACGTAAGTTGAGGAGGATAAGTATAAGCTGTCAAAATCAAAGCAATTGAAAATGAAATGGAAAAGCTCATTTTCCTCCTGTAGGCTCTCAGGTGAGGGCTTAGGATGACCTTCAAGGCACCATGCTTCAGAGGTGTTAAGTGGCTTGGGTCTGGGTTCCCATGTGTGCTGGCAGTCATATGTCACACCAGACACAGAGGGTGGTTCCTTCACAGCCAGCTAAGACACCTACCAGATTCTTGCCAGGCCTGTTTCCTTTAGTCCAAAGCAAGTAAGAATAGGGAGAGGGGATGAAAATGTTCTTACATATTTCATTTAAATATATTTCACCTCACATTTAGCATGTCCTTTTATTTTTGGTGTTAAAATTGTCTTTCTCTTAGAAAATAATGGTGATGGTGGGTAGTCCTTTTTTTTTTTTTTTTTTTTAACATTTTACTTGGCAAAAATTTTAAATTGGCAACCACGTGTCAGTGTTCCAGCATCTTAAACTTTCTCCCACAAGCTCCTGCAAGGTAATCTGGGGCCACCACAGGTGTTGAGGAGGAGGTGGTGATAGGGACTTGCTTGCTGCTCTGTAGCCTCTACCCCGTATCTTCAGCCAGACTAGTTCTGCTTCTTTTCTGTTTTACATATTATAGTTCAATTTGGACTTTCATCCAGGGTGGAGTCTTCTCCCAGTACCCTCTGTTTTGCCTTCCCACCATCCCCTCACTGAATTCTCACTGTATCCTGGCCCTGAGCACTTGTAATGTGTAATAATTATTCTTAATGGAAAACACAATATTGTTGTCTACAGTGTGGTTTTTTTGCCACCTTAGCGGTTGCCTTAGTTGAGTTTTTGTTTACCGCACATTAAGTGGGCAACAGTTATGCATCATGTGCACCATTTAGGTACCAAGTCATGCCCTCATCCTGACAACCAGCCTCCTCTGGTTTCAGAAGCTTCTTGATTAGAGACATTGGGTTTTCTCTAAAACCCCGTTGACTTGCCCTGAGAGAGCTGATTAATTGTAAGTCTGCCAGGAAACAACACATACTCTGAAATCACCCTAATCATAGTATTAAGTGAATACTTAGTTTCACTTAGTGTTGCTTAGAGAGCCACAGTTTCTCATCAGGTCATGAAACTAAGATTTAAATTCGATAGCACTGATAAATTCAAACCCTACATTTTTGTCAAGCTGGCTTTGGGTACATGACATTGAGTGAACTGAGAGCTCTCTGTCTGGCACCTAGTGGGCCTGGATAGAGTTTTCAGCAGGAAAGAGATGAAGTGATGAGATATTTTCCCTTTTCTTCTAGAAACAAATACCCAAAGTGCCTCTTTTATATTTGCTTTGAAGACACAGAGTATGATTCTGTAGGCTTACATACTAGGCGACAGTGTAGACTGTCTCTACCAAAAAGTACAAGCATCACCTCAGTGTGCTGTGACACACACAGTTCCCCTTGGTGGAGTTCTGATCCTTCTGGGTTGTTCTGACCTCGTTTAATAGGTGGGATGGGTGACAGTTGAAATTTATTTACTGTTTTATATTTTCATTATGGAAATCTTCAAAAATACACAAAGTAGAGAGCGTAGTATAACAATATAATAATGTAGCTCTCTGTTCCTGTTCCATCTCTTCCCCTCCATTTGTTTTAAGCTGGAGTCTTTTTTCCCCCAAGTACATCTCAATAATCCATTTTATAAAGAAAACTTTCTTTTCTTTTTTTCTTTTTTTTTTTTGAGACAGAGTTTTGCTCTTGTTGCCCAGGCTGGAATGCAATGGCATGATCTTGGGTCACTGCAATTTCTGCCTCCCAGGTTCAAGCAGTTCTCGTGCCTCAGCCTCCTGAGTAGCTGGGACTACAGGGGCCTGCCACCATGCCCAGCTAATTTTTGTGTTTTTAGTAGAGATGGGGTTTCACTATGTTGGCCAGGCTGGTCTCAAATTCCTGACCTTGTGATCTGCCAGCCTCAGCCCTCAACGTTCTGGGATTACAGATGTGAGCCTCTGCATCTGGCCAACTTTCTTAATTTTTAAAGAACAGATATAACCCAGCATCACCTTATTTCTGTCCTGCCACCACCCCACCCATGAAATGCCTCTCCCCAAAAAGGTGCTCAAGTGTTAGAGCACCTTGCTTCTGACAGCCTCAAAGTATTCAGCCTTACTACCAGGGCAAGTACCCACCTGTTTCCTTGCTCCCTGAGCGAAAGGTATGTCTGAATCCTATAGATGAGCCTGCACTAGTCTTAGCAAAACCAAGGTCACTGTGGTCATGCTGCCATCACACTGCCAAAAGATCAGAGGGCTTCCCAAGAGCTGGGAGCACCTGACCCTGGCCAGGGGAGGTGGAAAAATTGACGGTGGCGGTTTTGAGTGTAGAGGGTTCAAGGGTGAAAGTTTTTCTCCCACAATAAGTGGACCTCCAGGAAAACACAGCTCCTGGAGGGCTGACCAGTGCCAAGCCTTGGGCCCTGTGAGCTCTACCTCTCCAGGCCCTTTCTGTTACTACTTTTACCTCCCAATTTAAAAGCACCGTTCCTTGTGACCCTGCCCAGAGACGGGCTCAGGGTTATTGGAGGTTTGCTGGCAGGTGGAGGTATCCGGAGCTGCTAAGGCGAGTGGAACAGGAGCAGAAGGCGCGGTTAGAAGCTTTTGAAGATGACCCAAGAAGGGAACATGAAATGGTGCAGAGGTGACTTGTGCCACTGGATGTCAGATTCTACAGGCAGGGGCTGGGACAGTGACCAATTATCTTCAATGATAACCTGCAGTACATGCCATTGATTTCATATACCTTGGTTTTAAGGAAGGGCAGATTATTTCTTGATGAATATCTCTTACTCTATTTTCTGAATTTCCTGCTTAAAGACAATTCTTAGCCTTCACTGTTGTTAGAACTTCTGTACATGTTTTGCCTGCTATGTAAACTAGGACTGCCTTTTATCTCTTTTTAGGCTGCTGTCTCCAAAGCCTTCCTTTACTTCCTCACCACAGTAGGCCAAGATTGGCAGATAAGCGTGCTTTCTGCTTTCCCTTTGAGGTTTCATAGACTTCATGAAGTGTTTTGGAATGACAGTGCCTATCCTCGCATTTCATTCTCAGTCTGACAGCTTAGAAATGGAGCATCATTATAGCTATTTTGATGTTGAAGTCAGTAGATCATCAGGAAGCTTTACCATGCTGGCAGCAGCTTGCCAAAAGACAGGATCAGCCAGGAGGTATCTCCCATGGGGATATGAGAAGAGCATTAAGACCTTCTTGGCTTCACATGGGTGCTAACATAGTCACCACTCTCTTTACACTCTCTACTTCCCCTCCAGGAGGGCCGCAAGAATGAGATGCTGCTGTCCAAGGTGAAAGCCAAGGCCTCCTGAATATCCCCAGCCATGGTGTATGTCATTGATTTTATTTTTAAGCACCGTATATCAACTACAAGATCATGAGATGGTTGTGAAAGCAACAGTAGAAAGATGCAGATGTAATGGTTTCAACAACCTGGATGTTTTCTTTCTCCTCTGCTTCCATTCATCTCTGTTGGCTGTTGATGGAATCAGAGAGTATAAACACATGGCTTGGATAACACCCGTCATCCTCTGAAGAATGCGGGCAATACTTGTTCTCTGTTAATTCAACTTTTATGTCTCCAGTAACATTGCACTTTTGAAGGTACCTGTATTTGTATGGACTCTGAATAAAGAATTATTTGTTTAGCAAGTGGTAATTGAGCACCCACTGGGAATTAAGCACTGAGGAAGATTCAGAGACATGTGAAACACAGTTCCCGCCACACAGGCATCCAGCAGGTGGCCCAGAGAGGCAGGTAGAGCCCACTTGACCATAGAGCTGGGCCATCTGAGGTGTTTTTCAGTAAACAAAAGGCATTTAACTGAATGATCAGCCCATGTAGTGGTCACTTGGGCTTTTCACCTGCCATGGAACTTTTTGTTCCCAGCTCCTCCAGGTGCCAGCCAGCAGGCTTGGTGACAAAGCAACTGGAATGAAAGTTTGATGTCATTGGTTTAATTTTTATATGTTACTCAAGTTTATATCTCAGAAAATTGAAAATGGACCTCATGCTGAGGACACTTCAATAAAAATTACACCTTCCCCTGCCCCAGTGTTCATTTGAGTCACAGCATGCAGAGGGGCTGTGCATCCACCTCATTGAAGGCACAGTCCATGAAGCTACACTGCAGATGGGTCATGATCTGATCCAGGAGACAGATGGACACTCTTCCCTGCACTCTAGGCAAGTAGGGTGTCAGGAAGAGCAATGGTGTTTGCAGAAATCCAGGGAATTTCCTGGAGGAGGCAGCATTTGGGCCCAATGTAAAGGGAGAATTGGATGTTGATAGGTGGCAGTAAGTCTGTTTTAAATGAAAATACGCTATGATTAAAAACCCAAGAGGGTGCAGAGGAGTGCAAGGCATGCATTTTGTGAAAGGAAGGGATAAGCCAGTCTCTGCAGGAGGCTTCAAAGACCCATCTGGGAAGTAGGGCCAAGACTAGGCTTTGGAAGGTCTTGAAGGGCAGTTGAGGGGTTGACTTTAATCCTTGGAAATGACCAGTGCAGATCAAACCCAGTTACTAATGCCCTGGACCTCAGGAGTCTGGTAAAGCAGTCATGTTCAGTACGTTTGTGCTCCATTCTGCATAAATCTTGCAAACATACCAGGCAGCAAGTTTGGACAGTAACACAAAAGCTTAAACATGTCAACCAAGTGAGGCATTCAGCGGCCACAGAAGTGTGTTCATTTTTAGTTCCCTAATGGATGTGATTAAGCAGGGCTGATGTGTACAGATTTAAAAACACACACACGTGTTTGATTAAAAACAGCCATTGGTTTCAGTGCCAGGGCCCACATGGCCTGCCTGAGCCAGGCAGAAGCATTAGCTTCCAAATCGAAACTGCCACCTGTGGATGCTTCCTGGGCCATGTGCAGCTCCGCCTCAGCTGGTCCCTGAGCTATGGTCATGTGGGGGCTTTGAAGGGCTCAGTGAAGTTGAAGGAAGTAATTGCAAAAGAACAGGTGGCGCTTTGAGGGCAGGCAAAGGAGACAAGTTTGTGTTTGAACTCATTTCAGTCAGGGAAACATCTGTGTGATCTTGTTAGGAATCTTACAGGCCCACCCCTGGCTAACTGAACTTTGTGAGTAGTTACTTGAATATTTGTCCACAGGTGGTAGGGAGGCAAATGACATTCTGTGGTTACTGGAGTCCACCTCTGTGTTGATGGGGAAACTATGGCATGATTAATCCAAAGCAACCAGTAATTCTTTTTGAAAGTGCAGGCATTTATTTTGAGCTCTATTTCACAGGTGTTTCATTTGGTTGGGTTTTGGTGTACAGAGGTCTCCATCGATCTCTTATTTCCTTTTTTTTTTTTTTTTTATTGCATTTTAGGTTTTGGGGTACATGTGCAGAACGTGCAAGATAGTTGCATAGTTGACCCAGCAATCCCATTACTGGGTATATATCCAAAGGACTATAAATCATTCTAATATAAGGACACATGCACACGAATGTTTAGTCCCTTTTTTTTTTAATCCACAAGGCCTAGTACAGATAAATCAGTTTCTGTTGCCTGAATACACTTTAAATTAGACCACAAAAGCCAGTTTGAGAAATTCACACTTGCTGCAGACAACTCCCAGTGTGGACAGTGCCTTTCTGAGTAATTAGGATGTTACATGACTTTACAATGAGGCCATACAGGCTAAGGAGAAGCCCCAAGGAGGGCTGATCATTTCAGAAACCACCCAGAGAGCCAGAAGGGGGCCTCCCAGGGTTACGGCTCTCTGTGTGCCTAGATATAACATGGCATTGTGCTCTAAGCCCACAGGCTTCTCCAGAGTTAAAAGGAAGTGAGAACATCCTTAAGTTGCTTTTTTAAAATGTGCACTTCAGGAGGAACCAGGTTTCCCCAGGAAGGGGCAGGCTCCCTGCTCAGTCAGCACAAGGAGTTGCTAGTGGGCAGCCTGCGCAGTGCCGTGAACTCTGCCAGCCTCTGGGTCAGGGGCTCCCTCCCACTATGTGCTTCTCATGGAGTAGATGGGACTGCTCTGCTTTGAGCCGCAATCATAGCTGTTGTGAGCAGGACAAGATTGGGTGATCAAGAATTGTGTTGGGAGACACTGGGACATTTTTTTATGTCTTTGACCTGCATTCCATCTCTATTGGATGACTGGGGTTACCTACACCACCAGAGGGAGGTGCAGAGTGTTAAACAGAGTCACACTGAGGGGTGTTTTAACAGAGGACAAATTCCAGTTTGTCAGGCATATCTCTGTTAGAGTCTGGAGTTCATGGTTTTATCGGTTCTGGCTCGTTGCCCCTACATACTTTGAAGATAGCTGGGTCCTGCCAGTGTCCACTGAGTCTGTCAGCTGGGGAAGCATTCTCTGACATCACTGAGCCCTTGGGATCTCCTGAAGCAAAGGCTGGGGAAGGCCTTCAGACAGTCCTTTTACTACCTCACAAAGTGCCACTCCCGGGACCTCAGACCTCAGGGTTACGACATTGATGTCAGTCCCCAGTCACGTCTCTAGTGACCAAAGCAGACCTGCCTAAAAGGGCTTTCCGGACAGTGAGCCCTGGTTGTAACCTGTGCCCTCACATTTCTCCTTCCTCAGATGGTCTTGTTTGCCCACTTTTTAAGTGACTGATGATCACCCTAAAAGGGAGGTAGGCATCTAGCAGTAGCACAGTTACTTTGACTGAGCCTGACCCCTTGTTCTGAAGTGCAGATGTTGGGTTGAAACACGCATTAAGGAAGAACACTTTAAGGAAGCACTTTATGATTTACTCATGGCCAGTGTTGGCCTCAAGGTAAAAGAACATCTTAATGTAGAATAGTACAACAAGAGCCCCATAGGAAGGGGCACCATCATCCATCCCTCTGGTTGGGATTGCCAAGGAAAGTGCCTTGTTCCGTGCATCTTCAGAATCCCCCACACCCTCTCTTGATCCTTTTCATGAAGTCCAGAGCATTCCTTCTATGACAGGCTGAAGATGCTTTGTAAAAGGCAATGCTATAATAGCATTCCCTCTTTTCACAGTAAATGTGCAAAAATCCTGGGGTATTTGGTGCCTGATTTGCAGCATACTTGACCACACGGAATACCGTGGATATTCCACGCCAGTCTTACATCCGTCCCCCAAATATGCCAAGCTCATGCCTGCCCATGGCCATTGGCCCTGGGCAACAAAAGTAAGGGCCTTTCCTGTCCTACCACAGTCTCCCTAGCATCTGGCTCAAGGTAGCTGACTGAATGGGAAATTCCGGTTGGATAAAACGGCATTTCTAAATTGCAGCTTTGCATCTCTGTTTTAGCAAAATTAGATTTAACCTTTCCTTTACTGTATGCATAGTTTGAGAACAGGTAAAACAGTTTTCACAACTTTAGAGGGTTTCTTAATGTTTGTTATACCGGAACCTTGAAGTTTGGGATGAAACAAGGTGTCAGAGGTTTCTAATCTTTCAAAGGAATTACCTTTTACAGATTGTTTTTTATTCCCCAAGAAGGGAAAAAGAGAGAGAGGGAACGATTACACTAATGTCAGAGATAAGGTATGTTTTGGCTTAAAATGTGTCATGAATCTCAAGGTAACTTGATGGGTAGAAATGTCTCAGCCATATGAACCAAGAAGTGAGACCAGAGTGCATGGCTGTGGGTGGCAGCACTGGATACGGTGTTGGCAGGAGTGTGACCTATAGGCGCTCCATGGGGGACAGCTGTATAGTGTCCATCAAAAGTGCAAAAGCATAAGCTTTTTGAACCAGCAATGCTACTCCTAAGAATTGTTCCTGTGTACAATGGTTTTTGTTGAAACATTATTTGTAATAGCAAAAAGTTGGAGAGTGCCACCAATATAGGGGAGTGGTTAAATACATTATGGCCAGCTTAAACAATGGAATAGTTTGCAGAAGTTTAAAAGAATGGATCCTGTGTTTATGTACTACCATAGAATGATCCCTAAGATGCATGATTAAATGGAGAAAAAAGAAGCTCATGGTATCCTAATGTTTGGAGTGGAGAAAAATGTGTAGATTTGTGTGTGTGCATATGTTCTCACACAGACATATACATGTGTATATCATGTATCTGCCTACATAAGCCTAGGAGATCTCTGGGAGGATACTCAGCAACCCGGCAGCCTGATTGCCTCTGGGAAAAGGGGTGGGAATGACTTTTCAATGTACACCTTTTGTACCTTTTGAATTTTGTACCATGTACATGTATTATCTATTCAAAAATAAATAGTTTCTAATTTTTAATTTTGTTCACATTTCTTAAAAAATAGAACCAAAATGGAAGAAAATTCTGATTCACTAAATCTGCTTTCTTAAGATAAAACCTTTGATTCAAAAGTAGTGAGACTTTCTTGGGTCTTGAGGCGATGGGCCGTGCAAAGGGGCTGTCCTTCTCTGGTGGAACAGAATGGGGCAGTGAAGCAGAGGCTGGCTCTGCTCACACTCTGGGAGCATGTTGGGCTGGCAGAGAGAGAGATGGGGATGGGGAGGTGGACGGTGAAGTGACTAAGACCTGGGACAGACAGGCTGCTGCAGGGTTGCCTATGTCTCACAAGAATCGCAGTGCAACCCTGGTCCTCTAATTTTTGGGGTGCAAAAGGTACAAAAGTTGGAGTCATGGTCCAAGGGGAGCTGTTAACATCCTCCAGAAGCCATGGCCATCTTGTGTGGAAACCTGCTGTCGTTGATCCTTCCCCACTCCTTCTTTTTTTAAAAAAAAAAACAACTCTGATTTTGTCCAGCTCTGATGTGGCCCTGTGTTAGCCCCAGGAGAAAAACATGACATACCCAGCCGTTCCAGTCCGGGGAATCTCACTTCTGTTTGCCAAATGCTGGTTTGCGGATGGTCTAACCCAGCTATGACCAGTTTTGGGGAGACTGCTGAAACTTCTAGGAAAGACATTCCTGCTGATGAGTGAGAGATGCATTTGGAGAGCTTCACCCTTTCTTCCTGTGATAAGTTTTGGAGGAAGGACAAGACAGGGTTTGAGCAACTTCAGCCATCTTGAGACCATGAGAAGAGATATCCCAACATACTGAGGTTGGCAGAGGGGAAAGATGGAAAGAGCCTGGCTCTCTGAAGGCATGATGAGCCTCTGAACCATGCTGGGGCCTACCTGCTTCCATATTCTTGTTCCATGAGAAAAATGAACCTCTGTTAGCTTGTGCATTCAACCAACAAATACTTGAGTTTCTTCTATGTGTCAGGCCCTGAGAATATAGCAGTAAAAAAAGCAGACAAAGGAACCCATCTTCCTGGAGCTACTCTCCCCAGTGAAAAAAATATACAAACAAGATAAATATGTAAATATTGTCATGTGGTGCTTCAACATGCTGGTTAAAGCAAGGAGGAGTATCAGGAGTGTCTGGTTTGGTGGCAGTTGCAATTTTATATTGAGAAGTCAAGGAAGTCCTCACTCACTGACTAAAGAGGAAGTGAGTATAGAGATACTGTGTGAAGAAAATTCCAGGCAGTGGGGACAGCAAGTATAAAGGCCCTAAGGAGGCCAGGTGCGGTGACTCATGCCTATAATACCAGCACTTTGGGAGGCCGAGGCGGGTGGATCACGAGGTCAAGAGATTGAGACCATCCTGGTCAACAAGGTGAAACCCCGTCTCTACTAAAAATACAAAAATTATCTGGGGTGTGGCATGCGCCTGTAGTCCCAGCTACTCGGGAGGCTGAGGCAGGAGAATTGCTTGAACCCAGGAGGCAGAGGTTGCGGTGAGCCGAGATCACGCCATTGCACTCCAGCCTGGGTAACAAGAGTGAAACTCCGTCTCAAAAAAATAATAAAGAAAATAAAGGCCCTAAGGTAGGAGCATACCCAGTAGGTTAGTTTGAGGAATATGAAAGGGACCTGTGTGGGGAGCCACTAGAGGGTTTTGAGAAGGAAAGTAATGTGATCTGGGTTCATTTTAATAGGCATCCCTACACTGGGTGCAGAGGCTTATGTCTGTAATCCCAACATTTTGGGAGGCTGAGGAGGGCAGACCACTTGAGCCCAGGAGCTCAAGACAGCCTGAGCAATATGGTGAAGCCCCGTCTTTACCAAAAATACAAAAAATTAGCTAAGCGTGTTGGATTTCCATCATCCCGCCAGAGCAGATGCCTTGTCATGGCAGGTGGAATGTACTTCCCCTTGACTTTGGGCTTTTGCTTGTCCTATGGGTTGTTAGCTTACTTGATACAAGTTTCGAAAGTATGCTTGTATGGTTGGGTTACCTTCTTGCCCTTCTCTCTTGAGAAGAACATGGTCTGTTGGCCCAAGGACAGGTTGAAGGACAAACAGGGCAGCCTAGATGCAACCTACAGCTTGAAGCCAAGCCCAGAAGAGCCCCGCCTAGATCAGTGAAAGCCAAGCCAAGTCAGGCATATAAGCAAGAAATAAAACTTGCTGCATACCACCAAGACTTCATAGTAATTGCACACGACTATTGAGAATGTAGCTGATTGGGCCAACTACCAAATTGGTTTCATGCTAAGTTATCACCTAGAGTTGAAAAGATACCTCTGTACACCACCCAGGTGAGGGGCCAGAAGAGCAGCCTTCTCAGGATAGGACCTGCATGTGGAACAGACACTCACAGAGCAAAGCCATTATCATAAGAATCCAAATTCTTTCAGACAAGGCCGGGCACGGTAGCTCATGCCTATAATCTCAGCACTTTAGGAAGCCAAAGTGGAGGATTGCTTGAGGCCAGGAGTTCAAGACCAGCCTGGGCAACATAGGAAGACTGTGTCTCTATATAAAAAGAGTTTTAAACATTTTTAAAAAAGAAAAAGGCTGGGCTCAGTGGCTCACACCTGTAACCCCAACATTTTGGGAGGCCAAGGCAGGTGGATCACGAGGTCAGGAGTTCGAAACCAACCTGGCCAATATGGTGGAACCCCATCTCTACTAAAAATAAAAAATTTGCCAGGCATAGTGGCACACACCTGTAGTCTCAGCTACTTGGGAGAGTGAGGCAGAAGAATCACTTGAACCAGGGAGGCGGAGGTTGCAGTGAACTGAGATCATTCCACTGCACTCCAGCCTGGGCAACAGAGGGAGACTCCATCTCCAAAAAATGAAAAAAATTTTAAACATTCCCTCAGATATGCTCGAAGAAACATGGCCGTACTTAAAGGAAGAAAAGTAGCATAATTCATGTGTTATGCATTACCAAATTAATAAAATAAAACTCTTCCATTAGCCACATCCATCTACAGGCCTGGAATTTTGCAAAATTAAATTGTGACACCTTAGTGATACCTTAGAAAATAAATCCACTCAAGGAAGAGATGAATTCCTCCAACAGCCTCCCAATTCCATCTTAGTCATGTTCTATAGGCAAAGGGATGAAGGCAGAACAGAGACATTACACTTACCAAGGATGTTCTGAGAATGTCAGTTGGAAATCAGATGTGTTTTTGTCAATAGAATTCCATTTTGTTTACTCTGAATTAAAAGGAATCATAAGTGCATCCTTGCATAAAGTCAATCATCAACTGATCCATTTCAGGAATTCAACATTTTAGTTATAGTGAGCAGTTCAAGAAGGCTTTACTGACTAGAGAAAAGTTTGAAGTCTAAAATATCCAGCAGAAGTTGTCACCAAATTAGCAAGCAAATAGTTTTCTTTTAAGGAAATCTAGACATAAATGTGATTCCTTCTGCCCAGATGCTTCCATAATGATAGAATGTTAAGTCAAAGCCCCTGCCGAATAAACACGATAATAAAAGCACACTATCCAATAGCAAGAATAAACCAAAAAATTCTACAGATGTCTACCCAACCATACCCTGACCCTCCTTGAAACCTTCTTCCTGGAATCCAACTAGAATAATGCAAGAGGATCCACTATATCAGGTGCAGTCTGCAAAGGTTCATGCAGATCTCCTGCTGCAAAATGCAAGCCACAGTTGAAACATGGAGTCTAGTCAGGTTTCTGTTAGATTCCTTTCATCTTTCTCATGTTTGGATACAGGCAGACTTGAGTCCAAATACCTGTTGGCTGTGTACTCACTGTGTGACCATGGACAAGCTATTCACCCTCTTAGAATGTAGTAAAGTGAGGACTATATTTACCTTATAGAGTGAATGCAGTAGTAAGTGATCATTTGTATATAAAATCCAGTACAACAGCTGTACATGACTGGTGCTCAATAAACACTACTTATAAAATTTATTCCAGAATGTGCATTTTATGAAGGGAGAGATGGGGAAATTATTCATACTCCCTATTATATTTCACTCAACAAGGGAAAATCTTCAATGGACACAAGCTTGAGCTCTGGCCCTTAAAAGATAATGATGGATAACTGAGTGTATCATTTGACTGGTAACTACATACCTACCTGTTTCACCACCTCCTTAATTCACGGGATGTGAGGTGGCTTGTAGGAAACAAGCAGAATGACAGTAAGCTAAAAACTGAACATAAAATGCTGGGATAGGGAAATCTAAAATTGGAATTAGAGACTGGCTGGAAACATTATACACAAATAAGTAGGTTACTGGGTTTTATTTAAATTCCAGAGTAAAGGAATTTGGTTCTGTGCTTCTTCCTCATCAAAATGAAAATGGAAACACAGTCAATTAATAATTCTCATTATCATGAAAAGAAAACACACCTTCACAAAGAATGTAATAGGATGATTAAATACATCCTTATATGAGATGCATTGATGGGCTTTAAAAGAATGTTTCCTGTATCTCCTAATGAAAAAGAACAGAATTCTAAAACACAACTCCAAGAAGGGTGTTTAGGGTGCCATACTACTTACCTTCATGATGTCCCAATCTCTAGCAACAATGGAATGTATGGACCATGTATTCTTCCCAGACTCTCTTCAGAATTCCTCCTTTTAACAGGATTGGCACCTAGCCGAGCTAGAACTGTATTTAGCTTGAGGTTATACTGGTCCATGTACTTTCTCAAGAGTTGAGAAAACAAGTGTTTGTAACTCATTTTACAATACCAATGATCTGATTCAAATGACTTAAATGACCTGCACTAATATGAGGCTATTTCTAGTCCTTTTCTTACAAGGTATATATTCACACATATTACTGTGGAAATATTCAGGTATTGATGACATGCAGCTGTCCTAGGCCCAGTCAGGGGTGTTTTCTAACTTATAGACTAGAAGATACATCTCTAGAAATGATACCTTATAAAATAAGGATTTATTTTCTAAGCCATCACTAAGCTGTCACAATTTAATTTCACAAAGTTCCAGGCTTGTAGGATGGTGTGGCTAATGGAAGAGTTTTATTAATTTGGTCATGTGTAATGCACAAATTACGCTACTTTTTTTCCTTTAAATATGGCCGTGTTTCTTCAGGCATGTCTGAGGGAATTTTTTAATTGACTTATAGTTAATTTTTTTTTAAAACTTTAGAAAGGCATATATAATGTGTGTGTGTGTGTGTGTGTGTGTGTATGCCTTTCTAAATCTCCAAAATAATTATTGATTCTGAAACACATCTGATCCCAAAGGCTTTGAAAAAGGAACTGTGGACCTGTATTCTCTGATAAACCTTAAAATACTGGAAAATACTGGTACTTTTTAGTATAAGTGTGAAGAATGTCTATATAACTCAGTTATCAAATGAGCCAATGGTGGAGCAGAACCTTTTGTGCAAATTAAAAAGCAATAGACAGTTATTCTGCCTCCAAAATGAGGTAGACTATGGCCAAGATGATGTAGTCCATGCCTTTGGATTCCTATACATCTGGGCTACATTTAACATTTTCTGGAAGGCTATGAGTCACTATGGCAGTTTTGGGTGGGGGTGAAGGATTGTTGGTTTTGAGTCCTACAATGGGCATCATTTTTCCCATCTTGGTGTCTTATGCCTGTGTGTACACCACAAGAATGATTCTGAGCTAGAAATGAATTGCCTGACAAATTCTAAAAAACACTGTTGCCTGGGGTTGCACCTCCCAGAAATGCCAATTTAATTGGCTTACAGAGAAACCTAAATATCCAGAAGCATCTTTCACTGATGAAGGACTCCTCCTCATCTCACAAATTGGGATACACTATCCTATTGGGGAAGCATAAGAGGCTGGGGAAGATAAGTAAGGTTGATAAAAGACGTAGACAGGGCTCTTTTCACAAAGAAGGAAATCTCTTGAGTGCTGAGAAACCCCTTCTGAGAAATATACTATTAAGAAAGGAAAAGCAAATCAGCTTCAACTCTTGCATCCATTTTAAACAATCAACAGTAGCTGCCTAGAGTGCTGTCCTGGAAAGGATTCTGAGACGGAGTTGTTGCTCAGTGGGGAGAGAAGCCATGACCGACTGGCAACATCTGCCATGCACATGGGAAGAAGGCATAGTTACAACCCCTGCCAGACCTATGCTGTCTTTCTTGACAGCCTTGGCTCTGCTGCTTGTACAGTCCAGGCCCAATGGTATAACTCTCCAGACAGCATTAGCACTCAGCTGTGGAGGGAAGGATCTCAGATTACTGATGAACAAGTCCAAGTTTCCTTCCTCTTTACAACTCTACCCATGTCTCTCTAACCCGTCTTCATCTCTGCTTATTAAAGAGGCTCTTGAAGGCATTGTTGTAGTTCTTGTTAAAAGCTGTGTAAATCAGGGGGTTGAAGAAAGAATTGGAGTAGCCAAGCCACAGAAATATGCTTTTCCAGATGGGGGGCAGGCTGCAGGCACAGAGTGGGCTGATGAGCTCTGTCAGGAAGAAGGGGATCCAGCACAGTACAAACACACCAATCAGAATTCCCACCATCATGGCTGCTCGCTTCTCCTTCTGCTCCCGCCAGGAGTCGCCACTCGCCTGAAAGGCCACTGTTGCTCTGCAATGTGCTGTGAACACCATTTCAGCCTCATCAGGTGCTTCCTTTACCTTAGAACAAAGAAAATATGGAATTAAAAAATAAAACAGAAAAACAGGGAAGAAGCTGAACAAACCAGAAAGTCAACAGCTCCTCTTAGATTTGTCAGAGAAGTGAGGTCACAGTGCTAAATGCTGCTCCAAAAATGGGACAGTCAGGTGAATACAGAGAATCACAGCTTTCCAGAGCAAAAACCCACAAGCAGAAACTTCTGCAGGAACTACTGCTGGGGTCAGAAAACGTAAACTCTAATTGACAAATTTCTAGAGGCTCAGTGTGGAAAAATCTGACGGTTAAAAACTCCAGGAGAACTTAGTCATGGAGAGGAGTAGAGTGTGGAGGTAGACATCTTTATGTTTTATTTTCTCCAGGGTCTCTATCAGGTCCACACAGTGAATACTGAAGAAAAATCACCCTGTGCTTTTGGCAAGGGGAAGGGAAAAGAATCCATTTTGAAATACACCAAACCATTCTGTTCTAATAGGGCCTACCCTTATGAGAATTAACTTACTAGAGCCTAACCTGAGGGGCTTTTATCAGAGCCTAATCTACCTGGGGGAAGGGAAATACCCAACCCCAGCCCCCTGTAGCCATTCTGCCCCACTTGAGGGGGAAGTACGATTGAGAAGCACTAGGAAGTTTACAGTCCAGGTGCACAGGCTCAAAAATAACTGAGACCTAATCAGTTCTCAGTAGTCACAGGACTACAAAACACTTTCCCTTCTCCTATACCTCACCACCATATTAACTAAAGGCCTATCTATCACAGTTCCTTTTACCCAATGCATCATGTCTACCTTTCAACAAAAAATTACAAGGCACATTAAAAGGCAAAAAACACAGTTTGAAAAGACTAAACACACATCAAACCAGAGTCAAAGATGGCCTCAATGCGGGAATTATCAGACAATGAATTTTTTTTAACTATGATTAATATAACAGCTTTAAAATAAAAAGTAAACAATATGCAAGAACAGATGAATAATGTAAAGCAAAGAAACTGAAAATCTAAAAAAGCATTTTTAAAATGTTAGATATCAAGACACCAAAAGAAATGAAGACTCCCTTTCATAGATTCATTAGTAGACTAGGCACAGCTGAGGAAGGAACCTCTGAGCTTGAGGATATGACACTAGAAACTTTTGAAACTGAAACATAAATAGAAAAAAGATTTATAAAAATAGAATAGTCCAGAATGGTAAGACGACTACAAACGTAAATACACTTAATGAGAATACCAGAAGCAGAACAAAGAAAGGAACATAAGCAATATTTGAAGCAATAATGACTGAGAATTTCCCTAGTTAATATCAGACACCAAACCACAGATCCAGGGAGGTTAAAGAACACCAAGAAGAATAAATACCAAAATATAAAATACAGACACCTAGGCATATCATATTTAAGCTTGAGAAAAGCAAAAATAAAGAAAAAAAATCTCGGAAGAAACCAAAGGGAAAACCTATAGAGTAGCAAAGATAAGAATTACATCTAGCATCTCTTCAGAAACGATTCAAGCAAAAAGAGTGTGAAGTAAAATACTGAGTCCTCCTTTAATGAACCACTCCAAGGCTTCCCAGTCTATAGGCAGCAGAAGCTGCGTGTAACCGTTTCTGTTTACAAGAGATAATACTGACCCATCCACATCCTAGTAGACTATCATCAAGTCACCAGAAAAAGTCTAAATGACAAAATTTGGCATCCTGAAATCACCCCATGAATATTTAGCAGTCCCTTGTTGGGACAGAAAAACATCACCAGAGCCTGAGAGGAAATGGAAAGTGATTTTGTTATTTTTCTCCCACTAAGCTCATTAATGGGCACTTTTCCAGCCATTTCTCTGCTGACCTGAATGACCTTCCAGGCACTTGAGTTCCTTCACTGTGTAATGAAATTCCAAATCCTTGTTAAGCTACTGAAGTAAGGAAATTGATGGGGTAAGTTCAATTCAAAGAGATCCTGGGGGAAAGAGAGACAAAAAAAGGAAGTCTGGTTCATTTAAAACACACCTGGCTCTACCACTGCAGCACTGAGCAGGGTCCACCTGTGCTCTGTCAAGATGTCTGTTTGCTAGAAGTCCTGTGTTCATAGCTTTTCTGCCTGAGCCTGGTACAGCCTGTGCAGAGTGATGCTGGAAAGCAATGGAATCTTTCCAGAAACAGCCTCAAAGAAAATGAGCCAATTGTGGGTGATTATTACTATTATTTTGCTAGGAGATGACTAGCTTGGTTTTTTCAGTTCAATGTGTAATTTCTATTAGGAAATCAACATAAACAAAGAAGAAGCAGTACAACTTCTGAGAAGCTGCTATGAAACAGACACGTGCTACATGTCTGCAATAGATGACTCTCATTCTTCCTTAAGAGATTATATTATCACCCCCACTTCACAGCTGAGAAACCACTCTGAAAGGTTAGATACCTTGGTCCAGTCACACAATTGCTTATTGTTAGAGCTAAAAGTCAAACTTGGGTAATTTAAAGGAGAGCCCACACTCTTAACCCCCACATGTTATTCTGCATCTTTGAGTAAAAGTGATTGAACTGAATGGGTTCCTACAGAATCTATTTTTGGGGTCATATTTATGTTGGGGCACTTGCAGAATGGGCATCTATGGCTCCTCAGGCAATTCCTGGGCCTCTAGAAACCAGCTCTGGGGGCACCCAGAGTCTCCCTCTTTCCTCTTGTCTTTCTGCAGCCTTTGGCCCTCAGTGCCCCTCTGCACACCTGTCTGATGACCACTTATGCTCAAGAGGCCTCTGACCCTGGATTTAGAATCTGCTCATCAGGAAGGTAAGAATATAGATTGTTGAATCCACACAACCAGTACTACCTGGGACTTTCTGGTCCTCTTGTACAAGGAGAAGTGCTCTGAATACAGAGGTTGGAGAGATAGAACACTATAAACAAGGCCACACAAGCAGGGAAAGGCAGAACCAAGTTGCCTGCCAGTCTCCATGGTTCCAGGGCTGCAAGTTTCTTTCTGCCATGCTAAAACATGACCTAAAAGATGAGTTTACCTAAATGTCTTTATAGAGTCTAGGGCTTTTCCATTCAAAATTAATTAAGGATCAAATCAGCCAGACAACAAATGCTCAGACCCTGATTGATCACCTGTGTGTATAGGAACAATGTACTGAAATTTCTCATAAGGTCTCAATTTTAAATATTCTGTCTCACTATTCCCATAAGTCCTGTATTGCCATACAGGTCATTCTATGGACATGCTTAAGTTACTGTGTCAGGTGCATTTACCCTATAATTTGGAACGTCATTCAGCCAGTCTGATAAAAGATCATGGAGATGAGGATAGAGTCCTTTCCTTTGCCAGTATATATCCAGCATCCTCCCCACCTGCCAATTGGAGGAAAAGAGAACAAACAATATCTCCCTTATCTTGAAGGGCAAACATGTACTCTCTGAAGAGACAGCTGAGAACTGGCCTGCCAGCCAGAGCCCCTCTTTATATTGGGGCATGAATTTGTAGATGTCATTCAGAATATTATATCATGACAAACACTCTACAGGGGTAGGCACCTTGAGTATTCTGTCTACTGAAGAATCCCTAGCACCTAGTGTGGTGTATGATATACAGTAAGTACTCAATAAATGTGGGGATCACTCCTGCAAAGGGCCCTTGACAGGACCCTCACCATCTTGAGCTTGAGCCCATACATGTTTCTCCTCTCCTGGAGGCTGTTGAGCTAAGGGAAAAGAGGAAGTCTGATTGCACTGATTCTTCAATCATTTATTTTTGCCTCTGACGTTTGCAACAGAATGGCTGAGCTCAGGCCTTGTGGTCTAACAAGACATTGTGTGGTTTACTAGACATTGTGTGCTTCATAGTTCCTTCTCTGCACAATAACTTTATAACTCTGTTTATTTCGGCTAACTCACTCATATTGTCTGCATGTAATCCTATAAGAATAGATAAAGATTATCTCTATTTAGAATGACATTTGGAAAGTTCCAGCTGTACCTTGTTAATGATCTTACCTGCTTAACTTAATTTAGATAAACACATGTTTAGATTTATGACCCCCTTTTGCAAACTTTATTGTCCCTTTGCCATACACCCTATGATTAAGAGTCATACTTTCTGTACCCCTTTTCTTTTGATTTTTCTTCTTGATTTTATTTCAAGATACAATGGAATGTACGTCACTCCTCAAGTACTGAAAGGTATATAACCTGTAGTGTGCACAAATAAACTCACTGCTCTGGCATTGCCTGGTAGTCCTCCAGACCCCACTGTCTATCTATCTTTTCTTCCACGCACTCCCTCTTCCAGGTTCAGAACATTTGAGTGGGGCTGAGGCTCTCTGCTGGTTGGAAGCCCCCCGGCAAACATGCCGGACCCCCACATCTGGCACCTGAACAGGGACCCTAGACATGAAGGATCACAGTGACACTCAAGTTATAAAGGTAAGGCTGCAGCAGTAAGTTTAGCTTTTCTCATAAGTAAGCTCTCTATTTTTGATTTTGTATAATATTAATCAATTTTTTTCTCTCTTTGTTGTACATACAAGTCAAAGTAAACAGAATTTCTAAGTTTCATCTGGAGTAAAACATAGGGCATATAGAATCTAAGGAGTGTAACTTGTTTATACAATTATTGCAAAAAATGATTAAGTCACATGGACATGATATTAAACTAAAAATAGTGGAGGAATTTGTGCACATTATTTGTGAAATTTTCCCATGGGTTCCAGAAGGAGGAATATTGGAGGAAACTGCATGGGATGTAATTGGTGAGAAAAGTGAACAATATGCCTCTCATAATAAAGCTTTACCCCAGACTGAAGTTTTACTTTCTGTTTGGTTTAAGCTTAAGAATAGTGTCTGCTCCTCTCAAGCGGAACCTGCTCGTCCTTGCTCTAGCAATACTGTTTCTTCCCCTGCTGCTGCTTTTTCCTCTCCTGCTTCTGAACTTAATCCTCTTGATCAAATGGAGCATGGTATTAACTATTCTTCTTCTAGACATCCACCTATGGATAGCTGCCAACTTGTG